TGGGAAGTTTGATCGCAAAACAGTCATTGAAACACAAGCTGTATGTGCCATGACACCAACCTGCTAGAAACATACATCTTCCACATTCATCTCATTGAGTTTTAGTTAGAAGAACTCCTCAATCATGTGTACATAACGATCAGAAGTCACTGAAACGGACCGTTTGTGTTCTTCAGAAAACCATGACCTAATTATTCCAACTCTCGATATTGCACACCAAACAGTTACACGTTCTGAATGTAGGGAACGCTGTCAACATACCCGTCGATGTGCTGGAAAGAGTTGAACGAAACTTTCAAGTTCTGTTAACGTAGTGTGGCCATCCGCATGACATTATTTTTAAAACAGTGTGAACATAAACTTTACATGGTGTACTTGACGCCGTTCAAAGAATTAAACATATATATGCATTATCTTTTGTTTTATTGAATTTCAGATTAAGCAAACTGCTTTGTCCCACCCTGTATATTCAGATCAGTCACAAAATATATTTTGAATCATAGCTTTCTCTCGGATTCATCGTAACACTTCCAGTTATTTTCAACTCAATAAAAAATTATAGCCATTATTATTATCCACAGCCTTTAATAAATGCATAATAATCTAGGCTAATTGTAACTTGAGTTATTTTCTCCATGTAAAGAGCTATAAGATGCTACGAACATTAATCCGAATATTAGTCCGTAATACGGATCATCAAAATGCAGTGTTAACGATTAAGTAAACTTATAAAATGAAAACCATAGGAAATTTTCTACTAAAATGATAGCAGCATTTATACACCATGCATTTATAACTGCGAAAGTGCATTTATACACCATACATTTATAATATAAAATAAAACGTAAACTATAAAATGCGCTCATATGCACAGTTCCAAAAATTCAGCGTCACAAAAATCATAGAAGCCCATTGGTCCCTTTTTAAAACGCCTCCCTCCGTGGCGATACTGATGCGCACTTGTGAATTATATGCTCCGGGTCGAGTGGTGGGTAGAGAGAAACCAAAATATCTATGGGTGGTAACTGGACTGGAGGCAGTAAGTAACAGAATAAGGTGGCATACTGTCTGATTTCCTGCTTCCCCATCTAATATGACGGATTTTAGGATAAGGAACAGGCCGCGCTGTACGCTAAGTAATGAGAAAATGCGCGTAACTAAAGAAAAGTACCTTTTAACCTAAATCCTGCGTGTTGAAAACTTAGACCTAGTAAACCTCAACGAACACTTTATTTTAAGGGTATACCTAATGTGCTAAGCTTAAATTTCATTAAATTTTCGTCTTGGCTGGAGAGCCTAACCGTTAACTACCGAAATTCATTATACAGTCAAAAGTCTTTAATCCGGACGTCCATAAACCGGAATGATCTATAATCCGGACCTCAAAGCTAAAAACTTTCTGCATGCGCATATGCGTATACGTATGCGCATAATACGTTTACGCATGCGTGTTTAATGTATAACGGACGTTGTAAGCTAAGCTAAAATTATCTAATTTCAGTTAATGTTGCAGATTGCGTTGTTCCTTAATCTTCGAATTGGATCCGGCTTATTATTTTTTGCAGACTGTTAGAGCAATTTTATAAAAGTAAGTTTGAACTTTCGATTATGTCAAAAAGAATTTCCAATTCTGGAGTTGCCAAAGGATCTACAAAGCGAAAGCATGTTCCATCAAACAAAAAGTGGAATTCCTGCAAAAATGGATAAAGGCATGAAGAAAGTGACAGAGAGGTGGTTTGTTTCTCTAACCATTCCGTAATCTGTTTATCAATTTCACGCTGCTCTGCGGGGGGGGGACGTCGTGGCGCGCAATGAACTGGAAGTTGATCTGTCAGCACTACGTTATTTTCAGGGCAGATGTTTTTATTTTATTCGGCTTACTACGAGTAATTCCTTACTACGAGTAACTACTACTAATTCCTTACTACGAGTAAATATTGTATTTCATCTCGATGTATTCCGTCTTTGATATGACTTAAATCAAATTCCTCGTCAATATAAATATCACGAATACACATCAAATAGTTTTCTGGTTGCAATTTTCTAATTTCGACTATGCGTAATGTATGCTTTACGCATGCGCGCGTTGAAAGAAATATTTAATAAAGTAAACAAATAAATATTAAGCTTTTTTTTTTTTTTTTTTTTTATTTTGTAAATTTTGATACCCTTGAGATCATAATTGCTCTTTATTTCATAAATTAAAGTTTCATATTTTTAATTTTATAATTTCTTCATGCCATCTTACCAGATTTAAATTGATGATCTATAATCCGGAAAAACCGATAAACCGGAGTCGAAGTCCCGACGAGTCCGGATTAAAGACTTTTGACTGTATTAGCTTTGCGCACGCTAGATGATTCCTGCAAAACATCTTTTAACAGTGACATATCAGCGCGCTCATAATAGCACTTAATGTGGTTTACATTCGATTTTATAGTTTCACCATTTTGAACTTTAAAATATACCACAGTTTTCCTTATTTGCTCAATATAAATCAGAAATAGGGTAATTTATTACGAAACTTTCCCACTTTTCCATCTGGTGTATATGAAAGAGAATGCTTCGTTTTCAAAATTTATCTCTCACCTTAGAAATCAACTTCCCACCTTTTCTTGTCATAATAAAATTTTTGTTTCACTCTTGACATATCCGAATTTTTAATTACCTCGTCTACTAATTTCTGGATGTCTGCCATCTTAAATTCCGAAGATCTCTTTTGAACAAAAAAAAAAAAAAAAAAAAAAAAAAAAAAAAAAGTTTATCAGGAGGCGCAGTTTATTTTCTGCTAAGAAATAATTAAGCTGAGTTCTTCCTGATAGCAACATGTTTAGCTGTCCCAAATGATCATTGAAGTCACAGTGTAGTTTTTTGCCACAATAGTTTTTGTTGAATAATTTTCTTGTGAGCTTTTTAAGCAGTGGCAAGCTTTTTAAGCTGTAACTGATTTTAATTACATTTAAACTTGCACAGCTTTTTAACTGTGCTTTTGAAATTTTAACCCCCCCCCCCCCCCCCCCCCCCCCCCCCCCCCCCCCCCCCCCCCCCCCCCCCCCCCCCCCCCCCCCCCCCCCCCCCCCCCCCCCCCCCCCCCCCCCCACCCCCCCCCCCCCCCCCCCCCCCCCCCCCCCCGCTCTGTAATATTAGACCTGTGATGGGCAAGCCGCGGCACACGTACCACAATGTGGCACGGCGGAGTTTTAACAGTGACACGCTAATACTTATTGAAAAATTAAAAGGTTTGGAAAAAATAATATCATTTGTATAAACTTATTCGGTAGATACACACATAAACACATTAGAATAAATATAACCCCCCTCCCAACTCTTTGAATTTTAGTTTAGGTTTATTTCATTATATCAACATGCCATCACGCTATTGTTGTAGGCTTGGATCAACATATGTTTGTGAACAAATTTTTTCCATTATGAAAGTTATAAAATCAAAATATCGTTCAAGATTAATCGGATACGTACCTAAAATGCCCAATTTTGTTAACATCTTCAAGAACTAATCCCAATATAGATGACTTAATAAAAGAAATTTATATTCAAAAACCGCAATAATTAAGTACTGGCTATTTAATAGTTATTTAGAATTAAATATTTCAAATTATTCATTTTTATGGCCTTAGGAGTTGTCAATGCCGAAAAAAGGCAAATCCCCGCTATTCGGGGTGGGGGGATATACATAACATAATTGATTGAACCTTTAAAACTGTTTATTAACAATAAAATCTCAGTCTATACGTTTGTTTTATTTATTATATTATTTATTATATTATTTTTTAAATATTCACTGCGCAGGCTTACATAAAAAAATATGCTGTTTGTGTAAAAATCCTATAACAGTCTATAAATAACATTTTTTCACCTTTTTGTATTTTTTAATATGTCGGAAAAGCTGAAAGTGGCACGCATAACTTTGCATAACTTTTTTTTTTTTCAAATAGTGGCACTCTTCCTAGAAAGGTTGGCCACCCCTGTATTAGACCGTGGTCTATCAGGAACCATCTTAAAATGCTGTATGCCAAGCCCTGAATATATGTCATCGAAGATTTGACTAAAAAACTGGTTTCTGTTACCCGATATTACTTTTTTTTACTCCGATTTTTAATAGAATTTTATAGCTAAAAAAATTTCCAGATAAAATTTGTAAGGAAATTGTTGTTCAGTTACATAAAAGCCGGAGCTTTCTTATTTTAGGGCTCCGGTGCGCTCCGGCTAGAATTAAGATTTATCCCCAAAACTAAGAAGTACCGGAACTAGGCAGCGGTGGGTTCAGGGATGAATAGGGCTCGGGGATCTCTTCTAAGTCCTGGGTGGGCTCCGGGGCAATTTAAGCTCTGGAATACATACATCTTTACACAGGTGCATACATACATTCATTTCTGAATCCGGTCCCGATACCAGAAGAGCACCGAAAATTCATCTGTAAGTGTACTGAAAATTTTATTTGGATTCTAACTACTGAAAAATAGTGATAGGTTCATATGTTTACATTTAAAATCTTTTCTGTTATCGTTCTTTGCGAGAAAAATTCTTGCCACTATCGCGTCATACGAGTGCCCGATTATCTCAGGGAAATATGATCAGCTATCACGTCAGATTTTCGATTTAATGAAAAAAGGGAAATTAAGCAAGTACACATGATATAAATTGAAAGTACAAAACTGAAATACATTTACATAATTTTTCAGACGAAATTTGATATTTGTTTCCTCAGAACATTAAACCTTTTCGAAAAATCAATAGTTTTTGTTTTCGTTTAAAAGTGTTGCCAGATATTTTTTCTTAAAGCGGTTAATATTCATCCAGGAGAGTAGTATGTAAGACTGCATAATTTTCATTCCTAAAATTATGAGAGATGTATCTGCTTACGAACTATCTTTGTACTTTGTGATTTGGACTGTGATTAATTTAGTACTTTACTAAAGTTTCTTCCTTGGGTAATTATGGAAACCTGGATTTGGACGAAGAATTTAACAAAGAAAGTTTGGCAACAAGTGTAATTGAAAATACAAATAATTGTAATTACTATAGCGGGATTTTAGAAAAGCACGAAACAGAGGATTTTTCAATTAATAAAATAAGTTCTTCTGCATCTTTGGAAATCAAAATATATTTACTATATTCTAGAATTATTTCTTTAAAATCTTGTATAAAAAATTTCATAAATCATGAAGTTTCGCGGGAAAATGGTTGAAATATCCAGCATACAACATTTTACGAGTAAATATTATTATTTTTTTTCTGAATTTTGCAAAATTCTCCAGATTCTTATGGTTATTTTCTAGTTAATTTTAATACTTTGATTCACGCGCGATTACTAGATAAACTTAAAAGCTTGTTAGTAATTCAGAAAAATATTTTGAGAACCATTTGCAAATGTGATCATTTTACTAATTGCTACTATTTCATTCAGATTATTCCGAAAATATTTAAAAAATTATATTTATATATTAAAATTTTTCAGATTTTACTTTTTTTATTATCCTTTGTGTAATTTAAATTTTTCAGATTTTACTTTTTTTATTATCCTTTGTGTATCATGTATGAAAAATATTCCTTAATGCTATTATTTTTATGTTTGGTTTACCTATCTGTACATTACTAAACGTAAAAGCTTACATTAGTTAACTTATTTGTTAATTAATATTTGCCTAATTTATGCCACTTGATATTTTTATTCTAATTTCATTATTTAACAGCTATAAAAATATCAATGATATGGAGTGTATGGACATTATTTTGTACTATTCCTTTAAAGCTTATTATAGATTTAGCTGCTGTGATTACATGCATACATAGTAGACCTTTATTGCCAGACATTCTCCATTAACAGACAGTTCCTGATTCTTGGAATTCTTAAAATAGGAGGATAATTTTGATAATGGTCCCATATTACTCCAAATCCTACGAGTTGATCTCATGAGAGTTATAAATGAGAAATAAGACTGTTTATATTATATGAGTGACAAATAGAGTACATAGATTTAAATGAGTATTACATACTACTTTGTATACCATCTTTAACACAACCAATTGCAGAAAAATTTTTGAATTTTTATCAGCTGGTCTTAGTCAAATAATTTTTTAATTTAGCATTGGAATTTAGTAATCAATTCTATTTGCTAGAGAAAATTTAGTTAATTCTTGGGTTGAAATAGAACATTTGTTTTTCCTTAGTCATTTACTTTTTAAAGGGGGGGGGAGAATCCACTTTGAAGAATCATGAAAGATTCTTCAGGGTATAATTCAAAATTTTAAATGAGAAGACTAATATTATATATAATAATTAATTCTTCAAATTAGAAGTCTAATATTTTTCTTTGTTTTCACCCTATTGATTTAATAGGTAAAAGTATATTTTAGGGCACACTTTGACGAAACTTGGCGATTTTTGGCCGTACATGGATACCAAATTTGTGCAAGTCCTTGACTTGTTATTTTGGCTTGGCTTGCATAGCGGCAATTTTTGCGTCAAATATCACTGCTATACAAAGCCTAAACAACAAGACAAAGAATTGCACAAACTCAGTATCCATATACACATCAACCTATTTTTACTTAAAAAAAACATCTCAAAATTGCACAAAATTGGCATTGCGCACTCACTTGACTTTATCCATGTACACATCGACATATTTTCACTTAAAAAAAAATCAGAGAATTGCACTAACTAGGCTTTGCACACTCCCTTGAGTTTATCCATGTACACATCAATATATTTTCACTTAAAAAGTCAAAGAAGCACCCAATTCTATAGTAGAGGCAAACAAAAAATACATAATCTCAATAAACTACATTTTAAACCAAACAATAAAATAACATAAAAAAGGAAAAACCTATTATGCATTTAAGCATTACACAAAGCAAATATCCACTTACCTTTGTGGCACACAAAATTCCTTAACAGCATCCAAAAACTTCGTAAAATTATCTGAGCTAGAATGCATATATTGGTGACACCACATAAATTCACAAAAATACGAGTAAAAAATATCTTACATATTCCAGACTGTCTGGAAAATGGCTACTAAGTAAACCTTCATTTAACACCAGTCTATTAATGCACTTTTCCCCTTTTGTTCCAAATCGTACAGAAACTTCAAATTAATCTTACTACATTCAACCTTTCTACCGTCTTAACAATGAAACAAGCAGTGTATTTTCTAACCACACACACCACAAAAGCCCTTACAAAACATATCATGATTCAAAATTTGACGTAATAATGCAAACGATTATGTCATAATAGGACGTCCATAACATTGAACTATAAATGAAACAACCATATCATAAATGACCATAAATGAAACAACAACTTAGTTACCATAAATGAAACAACAACTTAGTTACCATAAATGAAACAACAAGTTTTCAATAAACAAAACAACAACTTAGTTACCATAAATGAAACAACAAGTTTTCAATAAACAAACCAACAACTTGACGCTAAATGAAACAACAACTTGGGGATAATACAAGGGGTACCCTAAAGACAACTCTAACCATTTAGCATATCAAATATAAAATAATTAATTGGTACTTTTCCGTTTCGCCAGCGCAAATCTCTCCAAGCATACTTTATTGGCGACAACACATAGCATACACATATAAAATGTTAACAAATGTTGGTTCTAAGAATTTTTTATTTTGAAGGCATAAACATTTTAATATCATTTAAATTTTATAAAAAACCAATAAAAAAAGACAATAAATTTGTAAAAAGTCATTAATTTAAGAATTTACTATGGTACAATATCTTGATTCACGTGATCCCAAGTGATCTCATCTCATGTAAACTACTTCAAAAATCTATCTACATTAATTTCAAGTTAAATCTTAATTTAGAATACAAGTTTAAATGCAAGAATGATTTTAATTCGTATGAATAGCTTACTTAGAAATTATGTAAAACCACAGAGCTTTACTTCGCTAGTGTATTCTCATTAGATTTAATGAATTGGCTTTGCTTTTTCTATATTTTTGCCTTCGGGTGAAATTGGTAAAAATTCGATGTAATTGTATGCCAGTATTGAAAGAAACAATCAATCTGATAAGAAATGGCTGCAACTTGTTTTTAAAATGAGGCGTAAAAGTTTACCAGCGAGGATATTCCGTTCGGCATCAGTTGTACCATTATTGGCGACATGATCGCCTGCGCCGGCAAAATGGAAAAGTACCAATTAATTTAACTTTGAAAATTGTGTCTTAGGTTAGCATTTTAGACCTTTTCTTCAACAACAATGTTTTTTTTTATGAAATTAAAGGCTGTTGATAGGTGTATGAAACTGAAACAAATTATTTCACTGTTTTTGTAATTTCATTTACTGTAAAAGCATTTTAACTTGTTTTTTTATATCAATTTTTTTCTTTTTCTTAATTTAAATATAAATATTTTGACTTGAAAAAATCATGTTTTGAATATTCTGTGTTAATGAATTATAAATAAGTTACATATAAATATATAAACAGAAGTAAGATCACAGAAATTCCTAGAATTTTTCCTTGATCTTATTAACTTATAGCTTAAGAATTTCAGCCTAATAATTTTCTATTTTCTAATTCTCTGTTTCTCTTATTTTTTATATAAATATGTATAAATTTATCAATGGTTTAATAATTTCTATGTTTCAGAAATATTGCAAACAGTTGCAAAGTTGACAAAAGTTGGTGTTTTGCGAATAGTGCCTACTCATATGTATTTTATATTTAATGAGAGAATTACTGCTGGTGGTTCAAGTTTGTGGTGCGAGATCCCGCAGGTAAATAAATAGCTTTATTAATTAAACAAATATACTGTAGCTGTTATGTACCAGCTTTTAATTTCGTAGTTTACTCACTATTTTGAGGCTGACTGATTGAAATAAGATTGAGGTGGCCAATCAAAATGATTGTCATTAGCTGCCATTATGGGCATCATTAAGATTTTTTATAAGTATTATGAAAAATCGACTATACTATTACCAAGAGTCAAATTCAAGACTCAAATTTATAAGCTAGCTGGATGTGATGATCATTAAATCACAAGGTTACGATACAAGAATGCCTTTTATTCTTCACTAAATGAATATTTTTTACACTAAAATTAATTTTTTTGTTCCTGGTGTGGGAAGAATGAAACTTTATGACTTTATGAGTGCTGAATATTGCTGTGCCTACAGGTGCAAAGCCTAACAGACTGTTTTAATTGAAAATATCTTGATTCTTACTTATGCTATTAAGTTTATTTTGTATAATTAACTAAGAGTCTTGATTTGTACAATTAAAATAACACAAAAAGCAATATTACAATTAATGGTTTTGCTTATGCATTAAAATTATATGTAAATGAAGCAGAACATTTAAAAATTCAGAAGGTCTACATATATTATAAGTGCATGCATGTATAAAAATAAAAAAAATATTTGACTTGTGTGAAACTTTCTGAATCTTGGACATTGGCAATAATCATGCCTTCTACATCCAATGAATAAAATCATAAGTAGCACTCATAATAGCAAGATAAAAGCTCAGCACATTATTTACGTTTCGTGTCATTCTCAAATCATCAATGCACTTTTAAAAATAAGTAAATTCTTCAGTTTTAGCATATCTAATATGATACAATGAAACACTTAGTTCCTGTATCACATTTGATAGGTTGACCAATGGAGGGAAATTGAAGCATATCGTATATAATATGCTGGAAACAAGGGAGGAGACAAAAACTTAGTTATCTATAGTTAGATTTTTTATAATTTTGAGGATAGAGGAGGAAAGAGATTTTGTTTCAGAAATAAACAAGTAGAGAGACAGACAAGATAAATTTTAATCTGGGGTATAAAATTTTGGTGTGTGGACCTCAGACTCTTTAATATCCTTTTTCTTGTGTAATAGATAATTCTGACTTTTTTTTTTTTTTATGACCCAAATCGGTGTTATGCTCAGCATTGGACTAGAGGGACCAGGTTAATTAATTGCTAGCCAGTTTTAGTAACCATATTTGCCAGCAAAATGATATCTAGCATTTAGATATTCTAAAATGAAAGTAAATATAAATAAATTAAAAGTAAAACATTCATATATATATATGTGTTTGTGTGTATATATATATATATAATATATATTTCCCTTAATGAATTTTATGATTTACTGTAAAAGAAGATTTTAATTAACTTAGCTTTGAAGGTGAATTTTGAATATATTTTAATTTTTTTTTTTAAATTTTATTTCTCCCCAAACATATAGTATATATTTTATGTCAATATTTCAGGATCATTATTTTTGTGAATTCAATATGGAGGGCCTTTCTGAAGAACACAATGAAATTTATTTAGAATTTCAGCTTGACAACCTTGCAACTGCATTTAGATCAGCCCAAGCTGCCAAATCTGTCAAGCTTAAATTGACAAAAAAACATGTTCCGTGTCTCACGCTTGAAGTGGAATTGGTGAGTAAATATTCATTTTTTGCAAGAAATGTTGTTTTTTTTTTTTTTTTTTTTTTTTTTTCCATTAGAAAATATGTACAGCATTTGAGACATTGTTCTGTTGTCAAATGATTGCCAAATTTTTCTCATGTTGGTGACAGATACTAAAAGCAGTCTCCAACTGTTGTAGTTCAAGTTGGTGACAGATACTAAAAGCAATCTCCAACTGTTGCTGTTTTAAATCTGATTACATATGTGTTTAACTTTAGAATTTTGAATTGGTTTCCCTTATGATATTTAGATTTGTTTTGGTACTTATGAATTATCACAACCACTTTAGTAGAAATCACAAAACTATCAGAATGCTCCGAATTCTGGAAATATTGTGTCCACCGAGTCTAAACATTCTTCAGGCAACCATACTTAAGACAAGCTTTCAGTACTGCAACAGTGTCATTTTTAATTCATTTTTGTTATATTTTAAGTTCCAGTGGTTTTTATAGACAAATCATGATATATTTTTACTTTTAATTCAAATTATTAATAATTTTTAAAGTATTCAGTTGTGGAATTTTTTTTCAGCAATGGAAGAAACTGAGATAATTTTGAAACTTTTTAGACTTAACAAATGAGGATTATTTAGATTATGACAATAACAGATGAGGATTATTTAGATTATGGCAAAACACTCAAAGGCCATATACGTAAGGGGTAAAATGCTTTCATTGAGGAAATTTTAAGAGGGCCTAGCTTTTATTCGCATTACACATTCTTCCATATAATGGACCAGTTTGCTGAGGTTTGAACCCAGATCAAATTATCAGTGTTCAGCTATTTTACTGCTTGGAATGGAGTGTAAAATACATCATTTATGACATTGCCATGCAGGAAAATTTTAGAGGCATCTAAGAAATCCAAATTGAAGTTTGTGTTAATTCAATCAACCATTTTGTCCTCTGAACATTGAAAACTATCCCAATAATGGGATGCTATGCTAGATGTTTTCACTTCTTTTTATTTAACCTATTCAATGTTTTCACTCATCTTGAATTTTAAATGTGTATGGGTTGATCCTGTACAGTACAAAGTCCGAAATTCGGACTGGTCGGGACTTTGGGAATTCCGGATTTGGGATTTTTCTGGATAATAGATCATCAATTTAAATCTGGTAAGATGGCATGCAGAAATTATACAATTAAAAATATGAAATTGTAATTTATGAAATAAAGAACAATTATGATCTAAAGGGTATCAAAATTTACAAAAAAAAAAAAAAAAAAAAAAAAGAGCTTAATATTTGTTTGTTTACTTTATTAAACATTTCTTTCAATGTAAGCTATTTCAGATGCTTCCACAAAAAATTCAAAAAGTTCCTTTTTCTTTTAATAATTATTAACTTTAGAAAATTTGTCTGTGTTGTGTACTTTTTTCTGAATGTTAAATTTTGGAAAAGTATTAACCATTATATATTGCAATATTTTATTTTTAATTTCAGCCATCCTTGCATTCCCATTCACGATTTGTTGTACATGATGTACCTATTCTGGTAATTCCCAGGAGGCTTTGGGAACAGTTTCAGGAACCATCAATGATAGAGTTTGATGTAAGCTGTTTGTTTCCTAATAAATGTCTTGGGTTGTTTAGCATTTGTATGATTTTTTTTTATCCTAAAAGATAGGATATGTGTATGTTGTACTGTTGTTTTGCTTTATGTCTCATAAATTTGGTATGTAATGTTCTCATTCTGTAAGAAAGATGTTTAGTACATATTAAATTAAATTCTGTTTGAAAAATTAAAGATAAAATGTTTTGGGAAAATATTCCCACAGTAGCCACTAAAAATACCTATAAAACTACTTTTTAAAATTATAATTGGAATTAAATATAATTTTGTGCCCACTCCTTTGAATGAAAACAGTTATGGAGTTTCAAATCCATATTTGGTGAAAGGAGAAAACTGGGTAAAAACCTGAACTTTGTTTTAAAACCATGGCAGGTCTTTTCAAATTCTTAAGGATAGAAAGAAAAAAATGAACAAACTCTGGTGTGTGTAGTGCTTCCTGCCTGGAGGATTCTTAATTAAGATCTTAGTGTGTGTGTACGTGTACATCTGCCCTTCTCCCAAGTGCCAAGATCACTAAATATGTCTCAGTGAGCACAATCAAGAACTCCAAGAATAAGACTAGAGTTAAAATGCTTTTAAGCATATTTTAAAATACAATATTTTGTAATATGCATATTTAGAAGTATCACAATATTTTGAATAAAACAAATAATTTTAATGAAAATGTAAGAACAACTTTTAAAGTATGAAAAGTATTGTATTTAATTTTACAGTAAATTGGCAGTTAGTAGATTTTTATCAAAAGTTGTGATTGAATTATGTGAATTGGAGTAAAGTTTAGAATATATTATATATTTTATGAAGTCAGTGTGTATAGATTTCATTGTTTAAAGAAGTAATTTTTTTTTCTTTTTTTTGTAGAAATCAGAATGAAATTAATCATATATTTGAATTTTAAAGCAGCAATGAGACTGTATTTACTTTAATTAATACTAATACTTTTTTTATGCTAGAAAATTATAGCTAATGAGATTATTGATTTTTCATATTAATGTTTAATATTACATACTCTTTATTTTACAAATGAAGTTTTCAAAGAATGAATTAATATGTTGAAGGGTTTTGTTAATATTTTTAATGAAGTCTGAATCTCTTTATTCTTCTTGAAAGTCTCTGAAACTGATTTTTCTTAGGTGTCCTTGTATATGCCATCACTAAAAGTAGTGAGGAGTGTTGTGGAGAGAATGAAAAACATAGGAAACTGTATGGTATAAATGTTTGTTTAATATCTTATTATGTTTACTTTTGAAATAAATTTGAGATTAGTGCAAATGCTGTGCTCATTTTTACTTTAAATTAAGAAAACTTTTGTACTGTTATGAAGTCATATATTTTTTTTGTAGCAGAAGAAATGACATTATTATTCTAAGAAAACTTTTATACTGTTATGAAGTCGTATTTTTTTTTTATAGTAGAAGACATTACATTATTATTCAGTGTTACTTAAAAAAGAGTTATCTGACATATTTTGGAAAAAAAATTTACATCCAAATAATAATATCTTCCTCTTCATTCTCCACTTATGCAGTCTTCTTTGTACACTCTGTTTTGCACAAGTAAAGTAAAATTAAATTAAGTTTTCATCTGTTTTATCTACATTTAATGATTCCCATCTGTTTTGGATTATGAACTTGTGCACAAGGCACTGATAATAAACATAAGCAACTATATGTGATCCAGGAAGGAAGGAATCTTTGCATTAATTCTTTAAGTTTGTGAACCAAGGTTTCACTGTAATGTCGTTCGGATAGTTGAGACTTCACATAATGCGGTTCACATAATGTATCTAAATTTTATAGAAGATAGGAAAGGAGATTTTCCCTTATTTAAACCGTCTTATTGTAAACTTATTATCATTTCCATTTTGTAAAAACGTCAAATTTCTTGCTAAAAAAGTTTAATGCAAATATAAAATATCCAGATGTAGAATGGTAATTATCAGCTAATGCCAGCTAATCTTATCCATCCGGATTTTTTTTTTTTTTTTAAGTAGAAGATATTATGATTAAAAAAAATGCTTGTTTCGAATTAAGATTTGTATAAAGCATTATTTTTTGTAGTTCAAAATGAGTTATATTTCTATATCATTTTAGACAATGCTTGCAAGCTCAGATGGAGAAATTGATTTGTGCTGTGAGACTGACACAGTAACTATAACAACACATTTTAAAGATCTGAATTTAACATCAGGTAAGTACTCATGCTTAAAATATTTAAATATTAAGTATTATTCAAGAATACCTTATGAAAGGATTTACATATGCTTTGTCATAAATGCATATCATTCTTCTTTAGAAAGTTCCCCTTAAATGCACCCGTCATACGAAAAATAATCCTCATATCTTTTTTGTAGTCATATTCATGTAACTATAGAATTTGGTTATAAGAAAGCACAAATGTAATCTATATATTTAATGTGTAATTGTATATTTATAATGTATAGTTATATTTGTATATATAGATCTGTATAGATATGTTTTATAGAGTATTTCAGAACCTACCTTTTTAGTACTGCTGTTTTTTTTTTCCTTTGGAAGAGGCCATAGCAATTTTCTTTCTGCCAGCTGTTCATCCAGCTGGCAGCTGTTTCTGCCAGCTGTTGGTGTCCAGTGGTGTAGCTAGAGGGAAGCAAGAGAGACATCTGCGGGAGGACAGGGAGGGCGGGCGCCCCAAACTGATATTACAAAATTTTAAAATTAAAATGTTTTTCCTTCCTGGTGAACTAGAGGGAGCATGAAATCTTCAGTTGTGCCCATGTGCTGAAAACCCTAGTTACAGCTTGATATTACCAAATAAAACACTGTCCTAGCCATATTTTGCTTTCCTATTTATTATTTACAGCTTCTGTGCTCATCATGCTAGAGGGATGATGGTCCCTTTTTCCATATTATCCTTGGAGGTTAATTTACTTTTTCTTGGCCCTTCAAGTATTTTTGATTCACTGGAAAGCTATTTTTGATTGTAAATTATAATGGTAAACTGTTAAAATTTTAATTTATAAAAATTCATCCTTCCTTATGCTTGGAAAAGTTATTACAATGATGCCTTGGATAATGAATTCCTTGGACAGTGAATATTCTTCATAACAAATGCATGCACGGACCAAGGAGAAGTTCTGTAAAATGAATTTGGTCCTGCAATATACGTGAATACTGATACATAATATTGTTACACATTATTAACATGTTAAACAAAGGACTAAATTTGTTTTAGTTTCTGTTAAGGTAGTATATAAATGCAAAACATGCATCTGTGCATAAACAAAGATAAGGAATAGAAGAGCAGCCATGTAAACAAAATTTTCAATATTATATTACTGCGGAAGAATGGAACAGAATCCAAGAAAACACAGGTGGAAGACACAAACAGAATACAAGAAAATGGAGGAGGAAGACACAAAAGCTGCAATCAGCGAGGACCTTTTCAAAAGGTGGGAAAAGGTCCAGACCAATTCAAGCAGTGACAACTAAATCAAGCTGAATTGAGCAGAGCAGAAGACAGACCTGTTCGGTGACAAAGTCATGTACAACATAAAGATGATCTTAAAGAAGAAGAAGCGTACCTCTTCAACTCATCTAAAATCTGGAATTACCAAACCAAAAATATCACAGATAACCCTGTCTTCCATCTATAATTAAATCCTGAAGCACACTAAACTGAGTTAAAAGTCTGTGAGATCATGCATGTAAATATTTTTGTTCTGCCTATTATATATTTTTAAAACAATATAGTGTATGTTAATATTGATATGGTATGTATGTAAATACATGGCAATTCAAAAGCCATGCACATCAAATTATAAAAAATTTTGAAAATTCCAGAATGGATATTAATGGCAATTCATCTCATTGGACGACACACTGCAAATTATATATCACTTGAAACTGTAATTGCAGTTTGTGCTGTTAACTTGAAAAGAAAAGCTGTTTAATGAGTTTTTCCCAACCAGAACAATTTTTGTGACTGAATACAATAATTATTTTGAAACTCATTCTTGTGAAAATTTTGTTAGAGACCTTACCAAATGGTCTTGAACATAACAAGACCATCATTTTCTTCTTGGTAACCTGATTTTGAGAAGCTGGGCATATTTACCATAAGAAATGAAGTTGCTTTGTATCTCTTGTAGGTTCAGAGAAAATGACTTTTTATAAGTCATTCATTAGTCAATAAGTTCATTTCAATTCAGTTCATTTCATTAGTCATTTTCATTCAAGCTTATTTTCATTAGTCAATAAAATATTGCAGTCTTGAACATGGAGTGGGAGAAAGGTGGCATTGCAATCATATTTATGTGTTGCTCAATCATAGAAATTCATGCTGCTTGAAAAAAGCTTATCTTCCTGTTACATGAAAGAAACAGTTATTCAAGCTAACAGCATAAACTGCAATTGAAATTTTAAATGATGGGTATTGTTTCTAATAGTATAAGAGTGTCATCTACTGAAACAGTTTGCCATTGGATATCTTTATTGGAATTTCCACAGTTTTTGAAATTTTTATGTGTCGACTTTTAGATCATCTGATAGATCAACATGCTGTATGTAAATATGTTTTGTAGCAAATAAGCTGCTAAATTTAGTATTTTCAGTTTTGTTGATGTATTTAACATTCTCTGAAAATATTTAAGATGTTTGGCAATTTTGGATTGCTTTCAGGAATGAACTAAAATGATTCCATTAGTAATATATGAGAAACAACATTCCACGTAACAAATGTCATCCTGAAATGAACAGTATTTGCTGTGCAAGGTACTACTTATGCGTTAAATTTAAAATTTACTTTTCTTTCTTTATATATCTATTAAAATCTGCGTGCCTGCTTATAAATTCAAATATATGTTAAGAAAAAAATTATAAAATAGAGTAAGCTCATTTTTTTTATATGGACCAAAAAGCGATAAATCTTGGGTAGCATATTCCTGTGCCAAATGATTCTGTTGCTTAATAAAATTGCATTATTTATTAGGAATTATTCCTTTGGAATATTAAATAAAATGTTTTAAATATGAGACATAGTATTGATTATATATAATAAAGCTGGCAATAGAAATTATAGTGAACTTCCTCTAAGACAACCACCAATTGGTTCCAGATGATTTTTGTCTTCTGTGGAAGTGTTCGTTTTGGAGATTTTTCAGCACTTCTTAAAACTAGTGTCCACTTTCAAAGATGTTTGTCTTAGGTGGTTATAGCTAGAGGGCTCACTGCATTGTTTAGAAACTGCAAATTGAAGTGAAAAAATAAATGAAAAGCCAGACTGTTATTCAGACTGTTTTAAAAGCAGAATTTTAAAAGTTTGGTTAATGTATTTATAGAAACAATCTCATCATTTAATGAAACTGAACATTTGCTTAATATAGTGTGAGAAAGAATGCTGATATAAATAATGGTTTATATAAGTATGGTTAATATTGTTGTAATAGAAGCTTTTTGTGTAAAATTATTCAAGTTTTTGATTGCACATGTTATGTCATTGCTGTATCAGTAACCCAAAAAATTTCAGTATAATTCAATATTCAGATTTGTTTATAATATGGTGTAAATATTTTTAGATCCAAAATTTTCCTGTTACCAGGTTATTTTTTCACATGAAAAGAATGATTTTTTTTTACATCACTTTTTAGCATCAGGTTTTTTTTTTTTCTTATTATTATGATTCATCTATGATGATACTCTTAACATACAAATGAGTTTCAGTAAAGTTTTATAGTAGGAGCATTCCCATTCTTCTAATGAGATGGAATCTTTAGCTTCATTACTAGATATTGGTTTTGGACATTGGTGGATATTGTATTAACTCAAAATACTACTCCTAGTATCACTATCAATTGAATCAGCATTTTCACATGGATAGAAATCTTCATATTCTTATGATGATATTAATATATACTGCCATACTGTAGGAACAAAAACTTGGTAAAAATAACTCAGAGTATCAAAATATATAAATACACTTAAAGTCTAAGCTTATTTTTGGAAAATTACAAAATCTGCTTTGACATTAATAATAAATGACATATCTTAGATATTACTGTGCATCAAAGGCTTAAGAAAAGGGGAAATGTTAAAATTAATCATTTAACATATAAACTGATAATATTGTTTTCCAGTGCAATAATAATGCTGTCTTTCATATAGAAATTAATTTTGTTTTCAATATTCTAATGAAATCAAGTGATGCTTATTTCATATATGTGCAAAAAATAGTTTTTCTTGCCAAGATGTGACTTGATCTTCTCAGTGATCTTGTTCACTGAGATGTGAATGATTCTTTTAATGCTCATAATTAAATTTGGTGATTAAATAAGGATCATAAATATTTTGCATTTTGTTTCTTAGTTTCTGCTCAGTGTACAAATAAACGGACAGCAGAATGCAGGATTGATATTCGTAAATTTAATCAATTTCTACTGGGGCAGCAAATTAATCCAGCTAAAGTAGTTTGCAGTAAGTTCTTTCAAAATGATTTCATGGTTTCTTATGCTTTTATGAGATCGTATCATACTGTTGTTAATAATAGTAATAAGTGTATTAATTCTTATTATTTATTTGAGAAATATATATTAAGTACTGATTTTTTAGTTTTAAAATGCCACTTTATAGTTATATTTCTTAATAAAAAATATTTTTTTATTAAGAAGTATAATAAAATAATTTTTTTAATTAAAACTATTTTTTTTTTCCCCTCAGATGTAACACACCATCAAATGGTTCAGTTCTTTCTTCTGCATGATGATGTATCCATCCAATATTTCCTTCCTTGTATTGTGGCTTAAAGGACGCTTACCATGAAGTTAAGCTTAATTGTAAATATTGTTTAATGTGGACTTGTTTGAATTTTGAGAGTGTAAATATTTCATGCTGTATTTTTACTACATGCAAATTATTTCATAAATTTGTTAGAATTTTTAATAAATGTGTCTTGGTCTTTATATTTATAAACTAATATGAATGTAATACTTTAAACTAAATTTTAAGTTAATTTTAAATGATTTATTGAACAATATCAAGCTTGGTGTCTACCATCAAGAAAATAACTTTGTGCAGTTAAGTAATGAATAAAAATTAATTTCCCTTTTAAGAATCCGAAGATAATTAAAATTTCTTATGACCAGTAGTTAACATTTCTGTGGAGCTATTAGAAACAAGTATGACCAAACTAGCTGTTTCTTCCTTAAAGCCAATGTAGATTTGGAGATATTTCGAATTCTTCTAATTAGAATGAAAACCCAACTACACACAATTGTATGCAATTTCAAAAGAGGTAAATGATGTTTCTTTTAATGCTTATATATGTTAGGTAAAAAGTTACATCTGAAAAGATTCAGTGTTATTTATATTTGAAAGTGTTAATGCTTAAAATGTTAGGGGACTAGTTTAACTTCTCTAACCCAGTGACAATATGCCATTAGTTAAACAAAAGGTAGTGAACATCCTACAATAGCTCACTGTTGTTAAGATTAAAATAATGGTTTTTCGAATGCCAAAACCATTGCTTATTTTAAAACTGAATTTGGTTTCCAAGCATCTGAAAATTTTCTTTTTCATGTCATTGTGAATTATGAGGTTATTAAAGATCTCTGAGAACTGTAACTAGTTTTATGTGGCATAGGTTTTTTTTTTTTGTCACTTGGTATGTATTGTCTTTCTGTTTGAAATATTTTGTTTTCTTATATCCTTTAATGATTTGAATGTTATCCTAACAAATGGAAGGTTGTGAAAACAAAGTAATTATATAAACCTGGCTAATAAATGCTACTTAACACATTCATCATTGCAATAGTACCCTTTGTCTATTCTTTGTAAATTTTGTGGAAACAAAATAGCATAAACTGGGATGTGGCTGAAAAGTTAATAAATAAGTCACTTGACATACTGCAATAATATAGAATCTTGTACAGAAGATGAGTTATTTCATCACTAGAGCTCAGCAAATAGTCTTGGAAGACGATCTATCTCATCCGTAGCCACAAAAGTGTTAAATGCACTTCTCAAAGGATCATGTATCATGCTTTTATTTGTTTTTCAGCAAATCATTCTATGCAGTTTTTTATGTGAAGCAATGAATAGATTCAAGATGAGTGTACTTCAATTAAATTTAATTTGATACTTTACTGCCTAATTTATTATTTCAATCTCATTTTGCCATTCTAAGAAATAAAAGTTTCAGTTTTTCTGTGAACCCTGAACATTTCAGTCAGCATAGTAAATCTCATATATACGCCATATTGATTAAAAATGTTATGAAATATGTGTCTATGAGGTACATTTTTATACTTAATGAAAGAAAGAAATCTCATTAACTGAAGGGTTCAGATTGAGATTCAATATACTATTACTTTTGATTATATAATTAATACATTTAATAAAATTTTAAAGTATAATAAAATTCTTACATAAAAGTTAATCATAAAACAAATTGATTGGGTAGTGTACCTGAGTTATTACATACTTATTTAAAACTTAGATAGATATTGCTAGGCAATATATATACCAGTATTCATAAATCCTGTGGGAAGGAAATAAAACAAGGATAAATGAAGAAAACTCTTTAGCATTTTAAGTACAAAATACATGATGTGAAATTAGAATGGCATTTCCAAGTGAAAGAACATTTCTTATGCAGTCAAGCCATAACTTGATGTGTTAAAATATGTGGGGAAAAAACTAAGTAATATTTGTTCATCATATCAAAATTAAAAAATTTTAGATGTATATTAACCAGAAAAAATTGAATTTGGAAAAATTAGGTAAATTTTATGAGTGATAATGAATAGATTTCATTTGGAGATATTTTATGGTATATAAAAGGAGTTCTCTGTTGCTTAGTTCAACTGTTAAGCAAGAATATGTAAGAAAAATTTGCAAAAATTTGCTTCTAAATTAAATAATAAGTCTAAAACGCATTTTGGAAACATTCCCTTGAGGAACATATAGACACTTCCTGAGGAATCTATATGACAAATATCAGTGTGTTTCTGGGTCAGTGCTTTGCAACAAATACACATCTAAATTCTTTTATTGTAATATATTTTTTTAAAATTTATTGAGGAAGTTAAATTTCAATCAGTATCTATTATTATTATTTTGTTATTTAAGAAACTTGGATGTTTTGACTTGATTCAAATTAAAGGAGAGCTGTTTATTCAAAGTAAAAGCTGTAATATGTTAGTATAAACTGCATGTAAGATTACATATACAGTCAAAAGTTGTTAATCCAGACTCGTCGGGACTTCGGCGTTTCCGGATTATAGATCATCAGTTTAAATCTGGTAAGATGGCATGCAGAAATTATAAAATTAGAAATATGAAACCGTAATTTATGAAATAAAGAACAATTATGATCTAAAGGATATCAAAAATTTACAAAAAAAAAAAAAAAAAAAAAAAAAAAAAAAAAAAAAAAAAGCTTAATATTTATTTTTTTTTTTTTTTTAAACATTTCTTTCAATGTAAGTTGTTTAAGTTGCTTCGTTTTATGTGATAATACTGTCTCTTTAATTCTATAAACAGACATAATTTCTTCTTCAGTTACAAAGTTCCGCTGTTCAAGTCCTATAATTGCTGTGTTGAGAATACTGACTAATTTGTCAATCGAAATTTTTTCATTTTCAATAACCTCTGTGTCACTTTCTTCACTATCGGAAGCGAATTATAATGAGGAGGAATTTGATTTAAATCATATCAAAGACGGAGTACATCGAAATGAAATACTACATTTAGTAAGGAATTATAAGCCAAATAAAATAAAAACATCTGCCCTGAACAACTGCTGACAGATCAACTTCCAATTCATTGTGCGCTGCGGAGTCCTCCCCCCCCCCACCGCAGAGCAGCATGAAATTGATAAACAGAGTTCGGAATCGTTAGAGAAACAAAGGATATGCCTTTATCCATTTTTTTGCAGCAATTCCACTTTTTGTTTAATGGACTTCGAAACATACTTTCGCTTTGTAGATCCTTTACATATTAGTAAATATATATCGGAAATTCTATTTCACATAATCGAAAGTTCAAGCTTACTTTTATAAAATTGCTCTAACAGTCTGCAAAAAATATAAGCCGGATCCAATTTGAAGATTAAGGAACAACACAATCTGCAACATTAACTGAATTAGATAATTTCAGCTTAGCTTACACCGTCCATTATGCATTAAACACGCATGTGTAAACGTAATATGCACATGCGCACACGCATATTCACAGCCGTAAACGTCTTATGCGCATGCGTCGCATTGACGCATGCGCAGAAAGTTTGTAGATTTGAGGTCCGGATTATAGATCATTCCCGATTGTGGGTGTCCGAATTAACGACTTTTGACTGTATTTGTAAATGGTATATTATAGTTTTCAGATGTGATATATATAAGAGTCAGTAGATGTTTCATATGAGGTTGGGTAAGAATTTCTGTAGGAGAGTTGAAAATAAACATATTGAGTATACCCTCAAAAAGCAGCACTGATGATAGAAACATAAAACATTAATGAACTTGCTGTTGTTTTTTGTTTGTTTCTGAAAATATCACTTGCATTCATATTTGAAAAAGATGTTCTTATTTTCATATTTTTAAGAAATTTGACTAATTGAGGAAAACTGACATTATCTTACATTTCATCTACATGGAAGAAAATTAAATTATATTTGTTAAAATTTTATTTTATTGTATTGTGTACTATAATGAGGTTGGGTAAAAGGTGATCTAACTTTTTAACAAGTCTTTATAACCTAACTTTGTTAAAGGTGAAATAAATCTGTGCTACAGTAGCCTGTTGAGGAATAATTCTATTTGAGGAAAGTTGTTTGGACATAGTTGATGGCAGTATCTATTTACTACAAAAGTGTTTTGAGGGAAAAATTTATGCTACCTGAGTAGTTGGGACTTTGTTAAAGGCAAAGTTTGTTTTTGCCTCAAAAGTCTCTCTAGGAAAAATTGCATGTGACAAAGTTGTTGGTATTTTTTTCTATGCAACAAATTTGTTCACATTTTTTTCTGTGTGCCGCGTTGTTGACATTTGTTTTTTGTATTATTGAGTAAGAATTCTGTGCTGGTAAAACTGATAGTCCTTTTTAAAGACAAAATATTGTTCTTTCTTATATTAAAGCAGCTCTTTCTTTGAGGAAGGCAAACATGCTGTTTGATGCTAGTGATTATTTGTTACATTGCAACATTCCGTCGTTAGTGAAATTGTGTACTCAAGAGTCTCCAGGAAGCTTTCTACCAAAGAGCATAAAAAAGTAGCCATTGGTGGAAATCAGAAATTACGGTTTGGACAAGACAATATTTCCATTGTAGAGTATTTATTTATCTATTTGAGACAAAACTTTCTTGGCAACTAAGTCCATTGTGAACTGTTGATTTCAAGCAAAAGAATATTTCCAAATGCTTGAGAGAAAAATTTAGGTCTAAATACTTTTTTGTCAGTGTATCTCCATTTGTGGATAGTCTCATTGTAATGTTATTCTCTCTGACTGCTTTTAAATGTTTTTGTAATTTAGACAGAGTTTGATATACATGTGTACTTTTGTGGAATTTAAGGTTCAGTAGTTTTGAATTGCATTTTAAATATGATTTTGTAACCTTTGAATATCAGTTTTAAGTGCTTTTATCAATTTATGGTTCTTCATAACATAGCTTTATTAGAACTAAATTGTGATGAAGGATGTCAGTGATTACTCTTTTTCTCAGTTCATTAAGTTGAAGATAAAGTATCAGTTCTTGGACTAATGATTTTTTCCCTTATGAAATGAACCCAATATGCTATTACATTCCATACTATTTCTTTGCTTTATCTATTTAAATTATTTTTATTGGTTAAATGTTCAAACACTTCAGCAAAAAACTTTTTGAATTCTGATCAAAATTTCTCAAATATAATGTTTGCGAAATGGGCTTACAAATGGGAATTATAATGTTTAATTGCTTAACTTTCAGTGCCACATTGAGTAAAGGAAGGCAGATTGCAGCAGTCATTTGTGAACTGTGGGGGACTTATTTGAAAGACTTGACGCTCTCAAACAGTTTTAAAAGAATGCATATATTCTTTGCCACAGTATCTGCTTTTCCACTGTATATAAAGTGCAAAATGTTTTTCATCATGGAGGCAAGGATATCTTATATTTTTTGACTATTACACCGTCACTTTTACTATATAAAAAGAGAAAATAGCCACCACATATTGCCAGAATCAATTTGAGAACTCCAAACGTAGTTACGTGAAGGAGACCGAACAGCAGTGTCAAAGACTGCATTACCCATTGTTGACCAAGAGGAGCCAAACCCCGAAAGACAACCTTAAAAATCCAACCATGTACCATCCCCAGAGCTAAGGGGTTGACAAGACAGTAGTACCATATGATCCCTGCTGAGCCTGAACCTACCCCCTGAATAAACTCCGGTTCTGGTCCTCTGAAAACTGATTTTATACCCCCCCCCCACAGCCGAGACTTCCTAAGTACAGATACTAGCCAGTACTTCATATCACAGGAGATCAGATGATTGTTAAAATAAAGCATGAATGGGTTCTCTGATTCCATTCAAATTCTTTGACTCAGCTGCCATACAGAACTTATTCAAGGCTGATGCTATGATGGGAATTATTGCTATTCAGGGAAAGAGGAAGCAGTGAACATTGTGAGTTTTCAGTTTACCCCGTAATATTGACAAAAATTTGGTGGGACCCCGATAAGCATAGCGAAAATCCGACACACACATGAGTGAAACTGTCTGTTTTTTTCACTTGTACTATAATATACTATTGCAGTTTTAGGTCATTAACTTTAATTTCTAATTTTAAGACATAGAACAATGTGAAAATTTTAAATAAGTAACAGACGAAATGACAACTTCACGTGCAAAGCAAGGAAAATGAACATTTGTATTATAAAAAGAATGTGTCGAAATGTTTTCATTTTTTCTTTGTCTGTATTGTCTTAGCTTTATGTATTTTCAGATACATTGTGTAAAAAATATTTGGTAATTGTAAAATTATTATAATAAGTTAAAGAAATATCAAAACTGCTAAAATTTTTGACGACCCTCTGCTGTAGGTCCCATGCCCCCCAAGGGAGTCACAACCCACAGTTTAAAAAACCCTGATCTAGTGCATAAAGTCTCGAAAAGGTCAAATCTCCTTTTGCAACAATTTTGCCATAAAGTAAGAGAGTTTGTGAAGAATGAATTGATGTTGCTGAATTGTTGGACTTTTGAAGTGACAGTTACTAAACCTTTAACTTTAAAAAACTAAAGAAAAGCTTGAATTGTTTATTTTTAAGGAGTGTATTGAAGTATATTCTTCGATTATTATTACCCTTAGATATCCTGTAAAGATTGAGTACAATGTAATGATATGAATTCTGCAGGCGCTGAAAATTTATTCAAGTCCATTCAGTTAAAAAATAAAATAAAATAAAATAAAATAAAATAAAATTGAGGGATAGGGAAAAAGAGTGGATCCAGACAATCCTACTTAGCATGTTAGGAAATGTTATTTTGAAAAATTAAGAATTTCTCCACATTAATTCTGATACTGAAGCAACTATAAATTAAACGATAATTAAATATTTGTCTGAAGATCTGAATAACTGAATTCCCTTATGTTGGAAGGAATAATTGATCCTAATCATTTAGAAAAAATGAAGTTAAGTAATTGCTACTATCAATGGCTTAAATTTAAAATTTAAGAATACATGCCTAGGATTTTTAAAAGCAGAAACATATCATAGAAGCAGAAGGAATATGGATTAATACTATCGTTCTTTTTATGAGAAATACAGTTTAAATCGTTACTAATATGTTAAAGTCACAATTAGGTAATGCTATGCTCAGTTCAACTCATGAAGTGTAGATAATCACAAACAATTCAAAGTTTTTCCTCCTATAACCTAGGTAATTAAAGATATTTCTCAGCTTTGTTAATTTATTTATGAATGAAAAGAATAACTACAATCACTAAATTCAATTTATTTCTTTTCATTAACAGACATTCTTAGCTGGAATTACAAGTAAAAAATTTAAACATTTTTTAAAACAACAGCGGTGCTGCCATCTGTTGAGAAACGAGCCAACGATTTAAATCCTTATCTTCCACTTCCCGAATCAATGAAGGGGGGGGGGGTCCCTGAAAACTAAAGTTAGTGGTAACATGATAGAATGACATTCTACAGGAAAAAAATACTTTCTGTTGATGTGAAAAAGTATGGTTCTTTTATTATTCCATTATTTATTCAGTAAAATGGTTCATGTTCATTTACCTCAAGGTAAGTACAGCATTTCAAATTTTTCTGAGGTAAACCTATACAGTAGCTTGACACATATCTCGTTGAACAGCCGAAATAATTTCCAAATATGATTGAATTTTATTCAATTCTTCCAGGTGTAATTTAATTTTCCCTTTAGCTAGCATAAATCTTCAAACGGTTTAACAGGGGGAATAATACTAAACCGATTGACTTTAAAAAATTCTTATCAAATTTATAACAATTGTTCGGCAGCTTCTTCCAGTTACTTCTAAAAAGTCACCTTAAGAAAATAAATAAGAGGAAATATTTTAATTAATGATAATCTATATAATACTGCAAAATATTATCTTCGATTTCAGAAATTAGTGCTTGAGTCAAGAGTTTGTATCACTTTATAACATACTTTGTAATTTGTATCACTTTGTAACATTGTGGTTGAAACAATAATGATTAAAATGATGGTATCAGCTATCATTTTAATCATTTGCTGGTTTAAGAACAAACCAAAATTTTATTTTTTCAATACTGTGGAGGTGTAACATCTGATATTTTCTACAGCAAAAATTCTTTTCAAATAGCAATAAAATTTATATTTTAAGTTGTGGACTATTAAAATTGACATTAACAAAGCCCGTGTAAGGGCAAAAAAAGGTAATAATATAAAATTTAAAAACTTTTTACGGTTGATCCAAATTGTTAAAATACTCTGCACATGAAATGTTATTGATAATTCTTTATCTGCATTTATAATACTTTCATCAGGATACGTAACAGTGCATGATAAATCTGATGAGTCATAACAAAATGGAATATTCTATCGAATATTAACTTTTTCAAATTGTAAATTATGCAAGCACAGGCAATCAATGCATTTAATTATTATTTTAGCGTGGTTTATGGAAAATAAAAAAGAGTTTCCAGAAATAGTTCAGGAACGGAAACTCCGAAAACGACTTTCTTGTAAATTATAGAAATAGCATGAAGTCAGGTGATAAATTCAATTAAGAAATGACTAAAGCAATTTGAAAATTTATTAAATTTTGCAGCTTGTGATAATTGGTCAAGATAGTATTCATAATATTCATAATAGCAAATGATAAAAAGTTCAAAAAATAGAAACGCAGTTTTCATTAATCAAGATATTGCTGTAATCAAAATAAAGGTGTGATAGCAAAACTTCAAATAGTTCTATGATGCTATTAATGCTGACATTAAGTGGGTTGAAATAAACGCAATTTAATTTAATTTAGACTATCCATAAGTGACATTATCAAGTTTCATCCCGTAAGAGCTGAGCTTTAGATGCGCTAAAGCTCATCAGAAATAAACACTGTATAAAACTTGAAAATTCAGAAACTTAATTGTTGGTCATAGTATGTTACCAATCTTCATCCCAAAATCGCTTAAGTTTCGTATGCTCAAGAATGCAGTTATCCAATTAATTGATCAGAGAATTCTTACTGAAATAATAGAAAATTGCTCTTCATATAGAGTTGCATGTGATCTAAAAGCTGACCTAAATGTTTCATAAGCTTTATATGTGCACATGTAATACTACTCAGTGGAAGCACTTATTTTGATCTAGAGCTACGTTAGCCAGATGGCTATAGCATAATGCAGTTGAGCAGATATTTGTTGACACCAATATGTGCAACAGAAAACACTTTGACCGATTCATGTGGCCCATGGTTCCATGTTGCTATGATATGCCAACTATAAACGGGGCAATGATGATCAAAAACTTGAGCGTGCCCTACTCTTAAGTTTTTAAGTGAAAGTTAGAAATTTGTTCGCTTGTGAAGTTAAAATGTATGAATATAAGTTAACAGTTTTCCTGCTAGTAATTCTTAACTTCGGAGATAAACCTGCTAATTAATAAATGCAAGCAGATGGTGACATTCAAATCAGGATGTCATTTACTTCTAAATTTGTACTATCTTCTTCTGCTTCATATCAGCAAAACCACAAGCCAAATAATTCTTTATTGCAAAGTTAAATGATTCTGAAAGGCAGATGCACCGAAACTGATTTGAAACCATAACATTCTTACTTTCCTTTTCAAGTAAGCTATCAGTAACATACACCAAAAGATCGTTCATTCGCAATCTATTTTATCGTCTTGGTTCTAACACATTAGCTTGTGATTTTGCATTACATTGTACAAACAGATTCTTTCCCACGCTTTGTAAATCTATGATGTCCTCAATTTACAAACTTGTTTTCGGTATGAACTGGTACATCGGCTCTATATCGTGAAAAGCAACTAGGAAAGTTGCAAGACAAAAAAGAAGTGCACAAAATAGGAGATCGAAAAATATTTCTGTAGGTTATCTGATGATTTTTGTAGAATAAGTGTGGTGCTTTGTGCATCTTTTGTTTTTTTTTACCAGGAATATACAATTTTCCCCAAGAATCACCTTTATATTATATATCTACTACATCTGCAAGAATTCTTTGGAATCGAGTTTTAGTCCCGAAGCATTGAACTGGAACATTTCTTCCCATCTTATCATTCAATGGCTCTACTTGTTGCCATTTCATACATCTAATCTTAAACTAAAATGGAATTTCAAGATAGGAAGAAATTTTTTAGCTCGTAACTTTGATATAAAGAAAAAGGTGAGTTCCTTTGTATTTATTGTTATACTACATTATACTACGTTACGTTATAGTGAAACTGGGAGGTTAATATTAAGATGAAGTGTCAACTAAAAACTCATTATGATGTAATAAGAAGGGTGTCGTTGGCTCAAGGTTCTAAGACTTAAACCTGAGTGAAGTGCGTAGTATTAAAATTTCGAGTGCAAAATATATCCTCTTTTCACAAAGACGTTCAACGGCAGTATCAAACGTTGTGTTCTTCGTATCAAACATTTGGACCTCTGATAGGGATTTAGGAGAATGACAGTCTCACAAACTGTTCAAATAATGGAGAACATAATGCAAAACTAAGTCATAACAATACTTATACTCCGTCTGAAAAAGAAAACAAAAAATTTTAGTGACACGTGAGAAACGATATATTTACATAAAATGTTCAACTACACATTTAAAAAAACTATTAAAAATTATTTGCATAACTTGCGTCTTTTATGAATATGTAATTTCATGCATTTGTAGCAGTTAATTAATTAATGTTGGTTAATTTTTAAATTAGGAAAGGCTCGATAAGTATCAATAGTTATTAGTCTTATTACTTGTCTTGATTATTTTATTACACACACACACGTAATATTAATTATATTATCTATGCATTCAGTTTATTGATTCTATGTAATATAGAGTATATGTTGAGCCTTATCATAATCTCGAAATATAAATATAACACAAATTGCGAAGCATGCAGCAAACATTAATTGAGGACAATTTATTTAACAAGCAACTTGTAATAAATTCCTTTCACAATTTAGCCTGAGAACATCAAAATCAATGTTTAATGCGTCTTTCGTCACTTTTGGCTCATATATAAAGGGTAAGAATATGTGTGAGACTCGAAAGTTGAAGACAAGTGAAAAAGAACATATTATAATACTTCGGGATTTAAATAGGACACTTGCTGGAAGATATAAATTGTTTAGAAATCGTTTTCAAGTAAGTACGATACAAGTTTCTAAATATTAATACGTATTCGCGTGAACAAAAAAAGCTGTAGACTGCGAAAATCTACGCTAAAAATGGACTGTTGAATTTTTAGTTTAAGGGATGGTTTTCGTTTTGTAATTTATATTACAACTGAAATAAATAGCAATCATGATACTAAAATCATTGTTAGAATAGTTAGAATGTGATTAGATTTTCATTTATGTCTACTCAAAGAGAAAGAAACCTTCTTTGAGATCATATTTCAAAAATTAATTCAAAATCGAACAACTCCAAAACTAAAATAATGACACATGTATTTGCTATAGACCTTAAGATCGATGAAAAAGGATTGGCAAAAATTGCGGTTTCTTAGCCCCAAAAGGCTGTTAATCTCGAAACGGCATTTTGCTTCGAATCACCATAAACGGCTGCATCGCTTTTCAAATTGTTGACACCAAATATTACCGCCCTGTATTATATTTAAAGAAATTAAATGATGAACAAACTGCATAAATGTATGTATATTTCTTGCACTGTGACAAAACAACGATACTTAGAGCCATGAGATTTTGAACAACGTAATCCTCCACCCGAACATGAGCACCTGGACGGCCGAATTTTGAATTTCTTTTATTATATATTTCATATTTTGTAAGTCTTTAACGATTAAGAAGCTCAACGACTTCAAAGCGAGCAGCGGCAGCATACAGTGCGGAATAAAATATTTTTATCTCCAGCGCGCGAGAGTGTCTATCGGAAATTCTAAAGATATGCTGTTTTTAAATATTTTTAGCCCAAATGACCTCGAAATGTACATATATGTGCAAATGGACAACAACAGCAAAATTTTGAAAAAAATCTGAAAGGTTTCAGATTTTAAATTACGTCCAAAGGGGCGTTTTTTTAACGTTTTGTGTGTTTCTTTTATTTATCAAATATCATGTTCTTTGTACTTAAACCATAATATTCAGTTCAATAGCAATGTCGCAAAATAATTTTAAAATGAGTCTATTTTTAGAATTTTCGATACACAGTTCGACGGCGCTGGAGATAAAAAGGTTTATTTTTCCCCGCGGTAGAGTGTTGCCATTGCTCGCTTTTAAATCGTTGAGTTTGTTACTTAAAAATTCGTTAAAATTTTACAAAATATGAAATCGATAATAAAATAAATTCCAAATTTCAAATTTGGGATTTCAGATGCCCATATTCGCAGTAGGATTACGTCAATAAAAACTGGATGGCTCTAGATACCGTTGTTTTATCACAATGCGAGAAATATACATACATTTATGCGGATTTTTCAATATTTAATTTCTTTAAATATAATGCAGGACTCTAACATTAGGTGGCAACAGGTTGAAAAGTGAAACGGACAGTTATAGTGATTCAACGCAAAATCGCAAAACGAAAAACAATTCCTTCAGGGACAAAGCCCCTTTGGGCTAAAAAACCTTTTTTCGTAATATAAAATCTGAAATCTTTCAGATTTTTTTTGTGTTATTCAGAGAGGATTTATTTATAATACTCTAATTATCTATAATTTATTTTTTATTTTTGAGTTAAATAAACAGATTATATTTACCATGTTTTCTACCAGCTGGGGTCGGTGTCTGCGAACAGTTTTCACAGCCTGGAAAACATCCACCTCACCGTGCTGAATGACTTGCTCGATGGCAACGCAGGCGGCACAGTAAACACCAACGCGGCTGCGTCCATTCCTAAAGAAATTCGAATTTATAACTTAAGAATTAATAAAGATTACTAGAATTTAAAAACTGAATTATAATTCCGCATCATTATTTAGATCCTTTGCTTGGAAAGTTATGATGGAACCAGCGAAAGTGAAAAAGAAAAGCCAAAATATGTTTAGAATTCTTATTTTTTGTGGTTTTCATTCATTGATGACATACATTTCAAAATGTTGAAGTATTCTTTATGGTTTATAATAATTTCTAAATTTAATCAAACATTTCCAGCAATTAAATCGAAAAATAATTTGAAAAGGCATACTTTATTGTCTAAATGTTATTATTATTTAAATACTTAGTAAGTGCTCCTTGGTTATGTGCGTAGTTTCGATGTATGAAGAGATCTGAAGATTGTGAACATATGCAATTTCATTCTAGACAGCTCATTAATTCTTCATGTATATTTAAAATACTCGGTTTGAAAAACTCTAATAGTTTAACAATGCCTTATAATTCACTAATAATATAAATATTAATCCATTATGCATTAGTTACATGCTAGTGCATTATAATCCTACATTTCAAATGAATCTGAAACGTCGCACATGTAAATTTTTTTTAACCAATCTGACAAATCACGTAACAGTCAACTAGCTTGGTCCTGGCTGCTGCTGACTCTACGCGCTTTATAAAGTGATAATACACTGACTACCAATAAGTATTTGGACACCTATGCAAATGACGATATCTGCGGGCCTAAGGTACGTCACGGACTCCGCCGGCATATATCGTGTAGGAAATAGCATCGGCTTTAGTCGCATGCAAGATGCCTCGCAGTTCGGAGCTCTCTGATTTCGAGAAATGTATAATTATCGGGTATCACAAATGTGGCCGATCCTTAAGGGACATATCTAGCGATCTGAAGTACCCAAAATCGACAGTGGCCTATGTGATTAAGAAGTGGAAGGTGAGCGGTGATTGTCGGAATGTGCCTCGAGTCGGCAGACCAACGAAATTGTGAGATAGAGACCGACGAGTGCTGTCCAGAGAAATTCGGAAGAACCGCACCTAACCGATGGCCCTCATCCGCGAGGAGTTTCAACAGGCATCCGGGAGTATTGTTTCAATGAATAACATCCGTATGGTATCTGCTTGGTTTTCATGGTCGTGCTGCTGCCCATAAGCCTTTGATCACAAAGTCCAACCGCAATCGGTTAATGTGGTGCAAAGCACATCGAAATTGGACAGTAGATCAGTGGAAACCGGTTCTTTGGAGTGACGAATCAAGGTTCACCTTTTACCGTTCGGATGGCAGGGTCTGGGTCTGGCGTCTACCTGGAGAACGTCTCCTGCCAGAATGCATTGTGCCAAAAGTCAAGTTCGGCGGAGGTGGAATTATGGTCTGGGGGTGTTTCTCCTAATATGGGCTGGGACCCTTGGTCCCCATTCATGGTAAGCTCAACTCCGATGCCTACTGCACTATTTTGGATGACAATGTGTGGTTCCTACGTTGTGGCAGTTTTACGGGTTGGACCCCCTGTTACTTTCAGGACGACAATGCCTGTGTCATGTTTCGACGTTAACCAGGCTGGTATGGTGCCAATGGAGTTCATCGAATGGACTGGTCTGCCCAGAGTCCAGACTTGAACCCTATCGAGAACCTCTGGGACGAGTTGCATCGCCGAATTCAGGGGTGCACTACCGTCACCATCGAGATAGATAAAGCCTGCGCTCTGAAACGAAACTGGCTTGTGACGTCACGGTTAAGGGACCCTCAGGGAACTTTTTATCGGCTTTTATAAGTTGTAATTTTTTATTCATTATGTTTTAAGAATTGAATTTATGTTTACTTTTGACACCTGAACCATCATCCCTTGTAATAATTACTAACACTAGTAATATAAAAATTGTCAGCAAAATTTATGATTATTTATTTTAATTGGAAAACTAATTTATATGAAATAACTGTCCTAAGGGGTTAAAAGCATAACACTTATTTCATTACATAATATGTAGAGATATCAAATGCAGAATAAATTTGTTTCTTGGCAGAGTACTGTGTTCTTAAATTTAAATATCAATGTTTTTTGCAAATCATTAAATATCATTTTATTATGATGAAACTTAAATGCTATGTGTTTAGCTAATATAGCTTCTGTTCACTTTTATATATGTTATTATCATGCAATCAGTTTGTTTAAAATTTATTACGCAATATAAATATTCTGAGAATGATAGAAAAGTTCTAAAGTAATGTATGTGTAAGATTCATATTAAGGTAATTAAATTGCGAAACTGCAAAATGAAATTTTTAAAAATGTACAGTTATTGAAGAAGCAGCGTAATAGTAATTGAATTCAGTATGTCAATAGACATACTTGTTTTCATTGTATTTCAATTCAATGCAATTTTAAAAACAATTTTTTAATTATCTTTTAAATTGCAATCTTTAATTTGAGTACGTGGCACCACCAAAAGCTATGTAAGTTAAGTTAAAATTATTGCTTACATTATTCAGAAAAGTTTTGAACATGATGTTAGGATTTATATTTTCTTTTCATGTGGATATTAATAGAAAAAATATTTTCAGAACAGAGGTAACGCTTATAGTTAAATAGGTATGATGTAAAGAAATTTCAGTTTCTAAAAGTTTTTTAAGTATTTCGTATATTTAAAAAATATTTTCAAAAAAATTGTGTATAACTTTATTTAAAAAACTTTTTTCCTGTCTTATTTGGAATTTTAATATTGATAGTCTTCAGAGCTATGTAATAAACATTATCTCAATTTAACTACAGATTCTGTCGAATAATTATGTAGCATTAAGAGGAAAACATTAACTGTAATACAGATTAACATACAATATGTAAGTAAGAAATAATTTTAATACTAGACTATTTAGTAATTTATTACATTCAGAAAAATTTTCTGACTGATATAAGGCATTTAAATGTTAGTATATAAATATTAAGTAGTCTCTTGCATTCGTTTGATGTTTTATAATCCTGCTACATTAATATGATAGATATAAAAATATACAATAATTATAGAATGAGAGAGATAACATGTGTTCCCAATGGCAAAACATTTTGATAAAGTAGTGGTGTGAAACAGAAAAATTTGATGCGGTGGGGGATGATGAGAATCAACAAGAGACACCAAAGACAGTGCAGGCAGGAAAATCAAAGTAAAAAATTTTAGCTACTTGAATTTTTAAAAACCAATTTTTCTTCAAAGAAATGATTTGCTTTTTAAAAGGACCAACCATTCTCAAATAATTTTTGTTTTGAAAAAATAAATACCAACAAAAGAAAATGAAAATATTTCATATTCGTATAAGCTTTGTAAAATATTATATTGCCGCTTGTAATTTTTTTTAGACTGATTTTATATGATGAGATACCAATTTCATAGAATAGGTTTAGAAAAACAGGTGTTTAGCAAGGAAGCTAAACTGCGCGAAGACCGGTCCCCTAGCAGTGACGTAGTAACTCAGCGCGCAGGCCTTATCTATCTCGATGGTGACGGCACTACCCGTACAAAATCGGTGAAGGAACTTCTATGTCTTCTCCAAGCCGAGTGGAAGAAAATACCACTAGCTGTCGTACAAAGACTTGTGGAAAGTATGCCCCGGAGGGTCCACGATGTAATTACCTCTCGTGGAGGCTCTACCAACTATTGATTTTGAATAAAGTTAGTTTTTCTTTTCTATCACAGATGTCCAAATACTTATTGGTAGTCAGTGTAAAACCCAGATGCGAAAACAGTTAGTGATTTGTTGTACCGAATGAGGCCCGGGTTCAAATCCCGGAGAAGGCATGAATGCAAATTGACTGTCCCTTCATAGGAGGAAACGGTGCCCGCTTTTTAGGTGCCTTCTTAACAAAATGACCACCGCTTTCGGCCTTACTATTGACCAAAGCCTAAAATAGCTATTGCCTGCCATTAAGAAAATAAATAAAGCAAAAAATAAGCTCCTGTAAGGAATTTATAGTACTATTTCTATTACTTCAGCCTTGTTTTGCAGTAGATGTGAAGAACATATGACATTTGTTATCATTATTAAAACTCACGTGTGCTTCCCTGATGGATACAGCGCAAGTGCTCTCAACTAGGGGGATCCCTCCTAAGCGGTATTTCGTAGTTTCTGGGGGATGCAGTCAGCCCTTTATTTAGCTGTTAAGTATTTAGTTTTATGAATTAGAAAAATACTTTAAAAGTTTTGGTATTTAACAACATTTCTGTACATTTTGTTGATTAATTTATAAAATGCGTTAAAAAATTATCTAAATCTAAATAAATGTACATGTATTTTTCAAGTTCTGGAAAGGAGGAGGCGGGGGAATGATCTTATAGCAATGGTGAAAGGGGTGCATGGAGCAAAATAGGTTGAGAACCTCTGGTATATGTTGGTTGCCGATCCTGGATGCCGTATCATTGCGCCCGGGCTCGAATTCTGGAGGAGGCTTTGAGATTGTAAGTGTATAATGCCTTTGTAACGTAGAGACAATTTAAATACACAGCGAGGTATAGGCCCCTTAGAGTGATTTGGTGGTAAGGAAGGCACTTGGTTCCATCAACCGAGGGCGATTTTCCTTCAAAATTGGCAGGAAATCGGCAAAATGGTACCTGTAAAAGTGCTTAAGGCCTTCCATGCTAATGGCAGATGTATTCTTGCACTCACGTTGCTATATTAGTGGAGTTGTTCTGACGTTCCTGCCAGAAAAGTGACATTGGTCACAACAATAACAAAACTCGCAGGTGTTTCCCGCAGCATTGCATATGCAGTTACTCAAACAGCTTGAAAACATGCAGTTTCTTGAACATTGGCTTGAAATTCGAGTTGCTAGAATGTCTACTTATGCCTTAAGGAAGCCCATTACCTGCCTACAGTAAAAGTAATAGGGCATAAAGAACTTTCAAAATTGTTTTGAAAGAATAAATAAATATTTAATTTAACAAGATATTTTTATTACATTTATTTATTATTTGAAGAGACATTTATGGTAGTATCATATCACGAATCGGTGATTGCAAGATTTAATAAACTTTCTTCTTGATTTGGAAGATAATTTTGAATAGAAAGTTCTTAAGTTAGATACTTGATTTGCTGAATTAACTCCATATTTTTTTCGCACTGTCTATTTTGAGTGTGTTTACATTTTATCAACAGCTAACTGAAACTAACTTTTATGTTATTAAAGAAAGTAAAATTAGTTCAGATAATTTATATGATGACAACCATGACAATAAGTCTTCCTGTTTTTACAGAAAAATGATGAGAACATTAAATGGATCATGACTTAATATGGAATTGATTCATACGTGGAGAGCACAATCACTGGTCCGTAGGCAGATCTCTGTCGCCATCTCTCCACCATATTCATAAGCTCTACCAAGGCATTAGTCGAAGTGGGCACTTTATGGCCGAGAGGCCAGCATGTAATCTGGAAGAGTTGAGTGGTCTTGGGCTCAGCTTTCACCCCCGCCATCAATTCTGTCAGCGAGACGACCTGTGTTGAAAAAGAAGAATGATCACGACCGAGGAAATTCACTATGAATCTTTCTGTGTGAGGCTCATGCAGAGATTACTTATGGAAACAAGAAAATTAAAATAAAAAGAAACGTATGATATACGTAAAATAGGCTGATCTGAATTGAAAAATGAGACAAAAAAGTCCGATTCAGACTAGCCTTATTTAAAAAAAAAGGAGTTCTGAACCTTCGAAAGAGGAAGTTTTTTAAGAGGATAGGAAGCGAGACACTTATCATCATTTACTTATAGGTGGGCTTGTGAATAAACAACAGCTGAAGATTCGGATACTTTAAAAGCTAATAGAAACAGTTTAAAATTTAGAGCGAAGCAGAAAGACCTCCAAAAACCTGAACTCGCCAAATGAATTAAAAAAAATAATTTTCACACCAAAGAAGTAGAAAGTGTGATTTTCTGACCAACAGTGTTGTGCATAGATGATTTATGATTTTCCTTCGTATTAAGCAGAAGTTTCGTGTTTCTTGATGCAACATTTTAAAGCTCATGAGGTCTGAGGTATCTATATTAAGCAATTCTGAGAAGGGGTACTTTAAATAACATAAGATATTGGGCTGGGTCTTTAAAGGACAGAAATGCAATGTTTTATTAAGAGAAAAGACGACACAAAAGCTAAAGATATGATATTTTGTAACTAATCGATGGAAAGACTGGAATAATTACAAATACTTATGATCACTTGGAAAGAAAGAATGTTTTTTATCCGATAAAACGAAAACTTTTAATTATTTTTGAATAAAATGGTATAAGAGCCTTCGTCGAATGGTTCGTCGGTTCGTAAGAATGGTTCTTCGACAACAATTCTTAAATTACTGAATTATTAATTGATGACTTTGGGAAACAAAGAGCACAGAAAGCGAAAGATTCAAAAGAAGCTAACTTTTCCTTAAAAAAATTATAGAGACCGGAGACTCTGGAATACGCAATCGAATTATCGCTATGTCTTGGAAATTGCAGTACTAAGCAGTACTAAGCGTGTAATAGACCCTTTTATTAAATTCAGTTGATTAACAGAAGACCTGTCTTGAGCTTAGAGAAATAGCCAGCATTTATGGCGTAACTCCAAAAGTAATGAATTGAAACTGAGACTAAGTAAGTCGTAAAAGAGCCAAAGGCTATGCAGAAAGAATACGCGCAAGGTGGCTTAAACCTAACACCGGTACGACAAGCCTTATGGCGAGAACAACGCAATGCCGCAAATAGACTGCTTGCTATCCGGAGATTCAAACAGTAACGTGGTCTTCAGCAGGTGGAACACGCTCTGATTCAATCTTAATCGATAGAAAACGTCACTGACACTGTCAAACAAATAATAAAAAGATTCCAATAACTATGCAAGGGAATTTAAATTTCACACTTAAAATATGAGCTGGTTAGAAAACCGTTTTGATTTATTAGCAATCGTAAAGCTAATATTGTGAAGAACATCCAATTATATTGCGCAGTTTGATTGTTTACATCAATCAAAAGTTTCATGTCATCAAAGTTTTATACTTTGTTTTAAATACTGTCTCTTTCTACCTCGTTTGAATAAAATGTTAGCATTTGGCATAAGGGGGAAGGTAAAGTAAGGAATACTGGTGATACAGAGTAGTGTTGATATTAAATTCATTGGTCTTTCGACTCAGGCACTTTTGATTGATGCAAACAAGCTGCGCAATATAATTGGATGTGCTTTCACAAAATTAGTTTTACAATTGCTAATAAATCAATAGTTTTCTTACCAGCTCATATTTTAAGTATGAAACTTTAATTTCCGTGCATAATTATTGGAATTTTTTTTGTTTTTGACTGTGTCAGTGACGTTTTCTATCGATTAGGATCTTTTTAAGTAAAAGGAAATATACTAATGTAAATTTTCAGAAATGTATCCAGTTTATCTACGGATTTGTTGATATTTTATATTTAAACAAACTTGAAATAATTAAAAAAAAGGTGGAATATTGGGAAATTTTTTAATGTGGAATATTGCGAAATTCTTACAAATATCATCATTGGAGATTTCATTACTGAGAAGAAAGGGTAAAAAATGGTAGATTCAGTGATAATAGGAAAATTAAGATTCGAATTGAATTTAAAAGTACTTACTCTTTTAAGGACTTTGAAAATCCAGGTTTTAATGTTAGAGTAGTGGTTAGATGATACTAGCTCCACCGTAAAAACTGGACCATATTTCTTCCTTTTGTCTCTTTCTGTGGGCCAGAAGGGAGGATATGTCTGTTGAAAAAAAACTGTGTGTAAATAATAGAAGTTATGTAGGAACAATGATCTCAACAGAGTGTAGATCTATACAATTTTCAAGGTGCAAGCATAGCATAAATATACATGACAGAAATCCACATGCAATCATATCTGGATCTACCACGGCAATATTTCGGTAATGATTAACTTAAAATCGCGGTTAATACGAGGGAAGTTAAAAAAAAAATGGGAAAGAGCAACGGAAAGTATTATTAAAAATTTATTTCTATTTTTAAGAATTTTAATTTGGGGAATAAGTCATGTTATTAAATCCAGAATTCAAGGAGGAAAATAGTTCCCTGTAAATAACGAAGGATAATCATGATAGAAATGGTGTACTTAAATTAAAACGGCATTTTTTAACAACATTTACAACAGAATTCGCTCTCACGATTCTTACCTTTTTGTATTTTCCACACATAGATTTGTTTTACTTTGATGGTTTGTGGCAGTGATTTTCCTATCGTTCTGCTGTAGAGACTTTAGGTACCCTTTTGAAGCAGGCAAGATGAGAAATGTGCAAGGGCCTTCGCCGGGATTCGAACCACGGACCTCTGAAATACCGGCTCAGTGTGCTGACCACTACACCACGAAGGCACGCTAGGAAGGTGGGAGAAATACCTTATACTGCAATAAATTAATCTATTTTTTAATTATTGTTCTTAAGCCGGGGAGAATTAATCGTAGCCCAGTTAATCCGCCAGAAGTTAATCGGAAGTGGACTCTAAATTCTAAACTGCATAAGATTGCAAAATATCTGGTATTGATCTGTTCAGAAATATAAAATTTTGAGATGAATATTTTCTTTATTTTTTACCATATTCTAAAATTTAAAATAATTATTAGCTAACGTCCCTCGAATTTATATCAAAACTCTTCTAAAATTTAAAGACATAGAAGTGAATGGGAGTTTGTAATATTAATGAGAAAGGTATTTGGAATAAATTAATTGCTTCGGATTCTAAAGTTTAGCAAGGTAAGAGAAATCAACACAGGATACCCTATGACGACTTGGATGGGTCTTCTGGATGACTGTTTTACTTGTTTAGAAAAGTTTCTATGAATGAGAATCAGAGAATGTCCACAGGATGAAATTGCTGACTCGAAAATTTTTCTTTGAACAATTCCAAGGTTAGACCCAAACGATTAGTTTTCACACTTCGCTCAATCTGAATATTTTTTTTAGAAGCAAATCATTTTTTTGATACAATATTTAATATTTGCATATTTTCATCCACGATAACTGTAAATTTTGCTGATGGAAACGATGAACGCGTTCTTCTTTGAAAATTTGCATCACCTAGTTGGGAAAGAATGTATTTATTCTTACCACATCTTCTAATCATATTTTGTAGCTAATACTTATTTTCATAATATTGTTACGAAATGCCCAGCTGCGGTAAGATTGCTTCCGCACAAAATGGGGTTAGGGTTGGCAGAAAGTCGCAAGGAAAATCAAGGTTGCCAAATTTGGCGAGAAATCTCCCGTTTGGCGCCAAAATTGGAGCTATGTCATAGACGGAACGAGAACATTCTAGAACGAATTCTAATTCTTATCGGTTTTCCCAAGAATGTTATCGAAGGCAGTTCAAAAGCTATATATACTCTACGCGGAGTAGGAGAGTTTCTTGAGAGTACGTTGAGTTCACTAGAAGTAATTTGAGTTCAGAGATTAACTTGAGAACGACTGAACCGAGTCGGGAGCTGTACTTTAATGCTTTGCCGCGAAACTGTATTCACTGTTGTAGCCTGAAGACTGTGTTGCTGATTGTTTCAGCATGTTTAGCGTACTTTTTTAACGACTGTAAATGTGTCTTTGGAACTGTCCTGTGTAATACTGACGAATATATTGTGTTTTGATTCTTCATCAAGTGTTATCGTCAATCACTCCAAATCCACGAACCCGTAGAACGCAACAATATTAACTTTTAGAAGTATGAGGTCACAATACAGCCAACTTCCGATTCACCAGGGGTGAATTAAGGTATCCGACCTCGTTCGGGTACCATTTTTTTAAAAATAGTTCTTATTTAAAATATAAACATATTAATTTGAGGATAAGCATATTAAAGAATAAAAACAGTTTCAAAAATAATGCTAAGTAATTTTAATTTTGAAAAATTATTAAAAAAGTGATAATTTTTGCTTAAATTTTGCCTTTACGGCAACAACGACAGTGAACAATGTATGCATAAATATAGAATTTTTTTTTAAATTTGTATTTATGTCTACACTTGTTGTGTATGCAATAAAGCAAAATACTTAAATATTCATATATTCTTGAGATATGCCAAAATGTATAGTATTTAGTGTATATTTTCTCGTTATCGCATTCAAAATCTAAAAAGAAAAAGTCATAATTCAACTTGTAATTAATATTTGTAAAATCTTCTGCTTCAGAGCATGCATCAGATTATATAAAACATATATGGAAAGTATCATTTAATTTTATCCATAAAATTTTGAGTTGTCACTGTTACGATTAGCAATATTTACAAAAAATTGCATTTTTCATGAAACAAGTTTAAAGTTTTTATAACACAATATCTCAATGAAAGAAAAGTTCCTGACAATTAAATTCTCCTGATTTGTAAGTTACAACTTGCTTTCTTTCACACACATCGTGCTTTTTCTTTTGAACGGCACGTAATTTTTTTCTTTGGGTTTTCGCAAAACTTGTGGAATGCCGCCTATAGTCGTGATTCCGCACTTTGTCAAGTTTTCGAAATCCCTGCTCAGTGTAAAATCAGGACACATATCTAACCTTGAAAATACTTCAAGCAAACCAGTAAATCCATCGTTAAAACTACAACACTTACATTCGGGACTTGTGTAAAAATATTTATTGAAAATATTTATTGAGAAACGACGAAAAAATTGCTAATATAAACTATCAGACTAAAGAAAGAGGAGAAGAAAATATGTAGAATGTTACAGTATTTAGGAATTGTTTTTGTTCACTGCAGTATGCAATTTAATTGCACATAATACGGAATACATAGACGTTGCTAAATCATCTATTAAAAACTGATTGCTAAATCATACAAAAATAAATTAAGAGTGCAACCATTAAACACCTGTTTCTCATAGACTTCTATCGAAATGCGACTGTAGTATAAACGAAATGACTGTTCTTTGTACTTTAAAATGCGTTCCAGTTTAGAATGATGACTCAATTTGCATTGCCAAATGATATTCTCCAAATTAAACTGCTGAAAAATACAGACAAATAGTTAATAACATTTTTCTGTTTCCTGAGTTTTTTTAACTACTATCATGTTTTTTTTTTGATTTCGAATTGTTAGTCGTGTGAGTTTCGTCCTCGTCGTTGTGTTTTATCAAACAGGAAGGAAGAAATTGTTTTCATTTTCCAAAGAAACGGAAAAAAGGAAGTGTACCACTTACATTTGAAGGAGGTGGGTTACAAAGAACAACTATTGTGTTGCATTCATGGTCATATACCAAGGACCAGAAATCCTGAACTGTCCTTTGCAGAGGCCATTCCGTAGCAATGTATTCCTTTGATCGTGTATAGCCCTAAAGAGAAATGAAAATGATTAGAAGGCTTATTTCTCACATACTCTATCGGAATGCACAATAATTTATCATAACTACAGGAAAACCTATATGAGAAATAGAAAACTACTGTAAGCCGGCACTGTCAAAAACATAACAACGGGTGTTTATAACGCTTTTGTTGCTTATGGTAGAGTACGAACTGCACGAAATTTGATCGAAAATCCCCTCCTTCCTTTTATCTAATCCACGAACTACTGTTTCCCCCTCTTTCTTGATCAGAAGATTGGGTGCTACAAAAAGTCATTTATCGCCATTAATGGACATATTATTGAGACTGCAAGCCTCTATTTTTCTTTTATCATATTATAAAAATTTGTGCATACAAAAAAAATCTTATTTAAGTCTGGCATGTGCTAAAGTAAAATGAATTTCTTTTACACTCATTTATTATTTACATTATACATTTCTAATAATAATTATATGTTCAGATATTTCCAAGTATATTACACAAACGTTTGCATCCCATTTTTTAATTTTTGGTTAAAAAATAAACTTTTATTTATTGAGAGACCTTATTGATTATAAAATTTGCAGTAGTTTGCATCTGTTTTGATGCTAAATTCTTAATAAATTCTTTATTACAATTTTTAAAGTCAACGTTCATAGCATAATATTGTTTAAATAATTATTTAAACAATAATTTTACTCAATTTAACTATAATTTTCTGCAAATACATTTTTCAATTAACAAATAGCTTTTTAAAACTTTGATATGGAATAATTTCTGCACACATTAGTGAGTCTAAAAAATTAATTAACAGTAGTTTTTAACAGTTAACTCAAACAAAAAAAAGGGTGTTGATACTTAATTATTTTTAGGAAAGATTAACTTCTAACTTTTTACAATATTTGAAAAAAAGAAAATGCCTTAATTATGATTTATTAGATGAGCGGGATTGGTTTTTAAATTGTAGATAAATATACTGTTATTAAGAAAGTCAATAATATGCTATTGTTAGTATGGATTGAAAAATTAAAAAATAAATACTTTTTAATTTCTGTTGTTAAAAAGTCATGCATTTATTACATGTTAATTAAAAACAAGTAATTAGGAACCTGCTTGTAAAAAGTAGATATTAATTTTTAATCATTTGTTTTTTTTGATTTATAAAAATCTAAAGCTATGGAACTGGTTTTTTAATTTTCCTCTTTACTAACAAGGCTTCGAAAATTTAAATTTTTACAGGGGGAAGAAATTTTGATGGGGCGCAAGTTTATAGCAAATTTTAAATAATGGTGCAAAACGATGAGGAAGAAAAAAAAAAAAACAGAAGAAGGGAATAAATGAAATGGGTAAATTAAATTTAACGGAGCACATCATCAACGGAAAAAACAATATAACTAATGAATGGGAATTGATTTACATACTTATAAACAGATTACAAAACAAATAGAATTAATGCTAAATTGTAAATCTCAATGATACTACCAAAAGAAATGACCTGAAACAAGCCAAGACTTATACTTTGACTTTCCGATGGGGGAGTAATGCAAGTCAAAATATGTCTTAAAAACAAGTAAGATAAACAGACGAGAAAATCATAAGCCGGGGGTAAAACAAAAACGTCAAACGTCGAAATTCACATTATCCAATTCTCTTTCTCCATCCTAGCACACGGGCCCACAATAATAATAATTCTCGCTTCAATATTAATTACTCAAGGTCTTAAACTAAGATTCATCGCCAAACTTGATTGCCTGTGTAAATGTCATGGCACTCTCCACATTCACGCTAATCTTCCAACTTTCTCCATCCTAGCACACAGGCAATTTGGGTTTACAATAATTTCTTTCAGACACACACGGTGTTTTATGGTCTCTTTATAAATTAATAAAACTTAGTTTTCCAAGAAATCTAATTCGAATTATCACGACTTTTCTTCACAAGAGATCATTCGAACTGGAAATACATACTCGTCGCAGAGGCCGGTTAAAGCAGGTGTACCCCAAAGCCTAGTTCTATGTCCTTATTATATAACATATATATTTATGTTATTCTACAGTTCAATTAGTACTCTTTGCTGACGATACAGCTCTTCTGACATAAACCAGAACACTTGAAAACATATACAGTCAGCACTATCTTGTTTTGCTAGAGGCATGAATTTCATATCGGAGAATTTCTATTGATGTTAACAAATCAAATGTGGTCCTATTTCGGAAAAGTTATTCACTCAATTTATTATCTGCTCCCAAGTTATCTGAAGAACAAAATACACTGGAAATAAGAAATAACATACCTAGGCAAATAAACAATAAATAAACATTAAACAATACTTGGCAATAAAACTTGACAAAATTGGCAATAATTAAAATATTGGCATTTTTAAACCACATTGTTATAAATTCAAAATAAATTTAATACTTCCATAGCTAACTTAAGACCACTTCTCGGGAAGCGTAGCAGTCTTTCTCTTCATAATATATATATATTTAATAAAATAATAATCCATGCAGCCATACTTTATACCTCCTCCATATGGAAACATGCTGCAGTAACAAACTCTATACAACCCAAACCATGCAAAATAAAGCTTGAGGAACACATCCAATGTTATTTGGTTTATAAGGAATAGTACATTACTACCGCCCCAGACGGGAAAGAGATTTGCGACGCTGACTGCTATACCAAAGGGCCCGGTTCGAATTACTTAGAAGGCATGGATGCTTGTAAATGCATAATGTCTGTGCGGCAATGAAGCACTCAAAATATGTAGCGAGCCAAAAGTCCTCTCGAGAGGTTGGTGAGAGGAAGAGGGTGTTTGAGACCCTCGGATTCGCCTCCAGGCTGCTCAAGTTGGAGCGGAAATGAACATAAGTCGGACTGTCACCTATATGGTGTTCACGGCTCTGGACGACGAGAGATGCAATCTTATACTCCTTGCCACGCTGTTAATTCGTGGGTTTGATATAATTACATCAGACAAGCGGGATTAGTAACAACAACCACAAAATTCACCAAAAATACATTTCCCCCCCCCAAAAAAAAACTGCTCAGCTTTTACTACAGTATTAAACACCATTAAAATATCATAATTCCAATTGAAAATCATAAAAACATCTGATTCCTGTTGTCTGCAATGGAGCAGAGAGGGCTACTTCCTGGAGCTAGCTTCAAAATACTATTTACGAGATATTTCAGAACTATTCTTTAAAAATGTGCATGGAGGTCCGGAACACGATAAGAGGCAATAATCTTATAGGAACACAGGATTGCATGCAGTAGGCGCCCACAAAGACAATGAGAAAGAGGCACAAGACAGATCCCAAAATTTATTAATTAGATACAAAAGAATATATACAACATTATTGTTTGAAATGAAACTGTTCGAAGTTGTGGCGAACAAATGCAGTATACGCCTTGCAACAACGACTTACGACTAGGTCCATGTCCCATTCCATAAGGGCTTCATGTACTACACTTAGTAAAATATGTGCTTTATATTGTTGGAATACCAGTCAATTTGTATAGACTGGAATTGTATAACAAATCTGTAGTTTTGCACAATTTAGGTCCATGTCCCATTCCATAAGGGCTTCATGTACTACACTTAGTAGAATATGTGCTTTATATTGTTCGAATACCAGTCAATTTGTATAGACTGGAATTGTATAATAAATTTGTAGTTTTGCACAATTTAGAGTTGTATTGAAAAAATTTAAGAATTAGTTTTCTTTCCTTCCTTTTTTATAATCTGGGAGCCAAGTTATTATTTGCAAAACATTTGCTTCTGCGGATAATAGTAAAATAGTGTACATATTACAATGAACTTCCCAACTGCAATTTCGGGATTGCTTTGTGGATAACTGCGACACAGTGTGCAAATTGCTATGGACACACATAATGAGGTGTGCAAACTGTTAAGGACACGAGGTTACGATGTATCGAAGTGGACAAGTAGTATTTACGTGAACAATGAACTTAACAAAAGTGTACTTCGAATTTATCAAAAGTTAACTTAGAATCCAGTTTATATGAACATAGAATAGTCTACACAACATCATATACTTTGGACTATTGAACTATCAACTACCTGAACTGATGTGATTGGCCTACTCTGTGGATAACTTCAACAATAATACGGATACACATCATTAGGTGTGTAACTGATAAGAATATGAAGTTATGACGTATTGAAGAAGATATAGGTTTAAAAACTGGTTAATATATAAGTTCCACTCTCCACAATATAGAATCTATCCATGACAATGTAATTATTAATTGATTGTATATTTATTTTTCATACGGATTATTATGTAACAATTATTGTATAGATGACATTGTCAATTTAGCATTGTAATATTAGTATCATTGATTTAGTGAATGCTGCCAGCAGTATTCACTAAATCAGTATGGTAGATTCTTTTACGTTGCATGGATATAACTCTGATTGGTGTAGAACCTTAGGTCGGAAGTCCATGCGACGGCGTTTCAGACCCCCAAAACATTAATAAATCCTCAAAAGCCCCAATAAATCCTCTTTATTTGCGATCTGTTTTGCGTCTTTCTGTCTCTGTGAGCGTGTAATGCAACAAGTTTTCGCATGTGATCTTACGTTCCTGCACGATTATTACCTGTTGTCGTGTTCCGGACCCGCTATATACCTTTCTAATGTACCCTGTATTCTTATGTTCTTAAGCAGAAGACAAATAATACCAATGTTGGGTTAGAGAGGTTGCAAAGGAATGAGAGCCTGTATGTTCTAGTTCAGTTAAGAGGTTTCCTTTACGTCCAGTTAATCTGTCCAATACTTAAAAACTTCCGTATTGCGTAGTATCAACTCCATAAATTTGCTCTGAATCTGTGAAAAACAGCAGCAGATTAAGGCACGAAAATAAAGAATAAAAGACAGCTAGAAATCTTAAATATTGCAAGCAATTATATGTCACAGATGTACAGAAATGTTTTAAAATAAATAATAAATATTGTAGTTCTATTGCCATTTACTGGCATGGCCTAGATTGTCCCTAGGAAAGGAATTACGAGCTTCCAAAATACGCCATGCTACTTCCAGTTTTCCAACGGTGCACTAAAGGTACGAACATATTATTGGGATTTATCTCATTTGCTGAAGCAGAATCCCATGGGGTGCAAATCTAAGGGTTTTCCATTTATCTTATTCTAATATCAAGCCTCTGGTGACGGAAATCTCCTCGCCATGTATTTTAAACGCTCCCATTCCATACAGAGACCATACACTTACAACCTCTGAGTTTTCTAGGGGATTCGAACGGAAGCCCAACGATATAATTGGCACTAACACTAACTACAGTACCGATCAAAGAGCGTACATTAAAGTTCAGAACGGAGCTCGAGGAGTATAACAGATGAAATCCTAGTTCCATGACACAGCTAAATGCTCTTTTATTCACTGCATTTAAACGGAGTTCAGACTATGCTTGTTCTTCGTATTTACTTAGTGCAAACTGGAAATTGTAATATATTAATATTGCCAAAGAATGTCTCCGGATGCATGAAAACATTCATTAAATACACATTAATCATTCATTAAACACGTACATACAAATTTTGCTAAATATTTCTGTGCATATTTCGAGGGCTCATTTTCGTTGGAAATGAAACTAAAATTAGTAATTCGAGTTCTTTCGGACACTTAAGAAATTTTTATTGCTATTAGAAATACGAAGTAGACGTTAATAACTAAGCTGTGTTTAAATACATTAGCAAAATAGCTCATTTTAACTTACATCCACGAAAACAGCGTTTATATAGTCCGTGTTGTCATTGCTCTGGAAAGATGTCAGATAGGGACGAAAATTGTCAGCTGAAAAAATTAAAAAAGACAGGTGAACAAAATATACAATGCACTAGGAGGAACAAAAGATTTCATTTCCACCAGATGTACATATACTTATCTTAAAATTTAAATTTCAGGTTGCAGAGCATACTCAGTATATTAAATAGTTGATATAAACTACAACTTTTCATCAAAATAAATTTAAGAGCATTTTACTCTAATCAGTAACTGTAGAATAGGCACTTCAATGTTATTTCTCTCCCCCCCTCCTCAAACTGTGCTTTATAACCATGGCAACAACTGCTGAGGAAACATGGTCGAATCCTCTGATTTGCTAAAATCTTTTCATTCCTTCTGTACAGTGATGATGGCACACGTTACAATCGTAAATGAGGAGTGGGTCGCTATGGCCTTGAAGTGTTTGTTATAAAGTAACATAGTTTATAAATAACAGTTCTTTATATTCTGCTGCTGGGTATTTAAAATTAAAAAATAAATTAAAATCAAATCTACAAATTAAAAAATTCAAATCAAGTCTATAAAATTCATAAGAAATTAAAATTGTAAGAAAATATTCATGAATAATATCAGTTTTATATATTTATCGTGAGGGAATATTTTGTCCCGTTATGTAGCCTAATTATAAAATTTATTAGTTTTTCCATTATTTTATAAGTTAAGGGAAAAAATTAGGTTATGAAATCTGTAACTAGATGCGTGTAACATAATAAATAAACTAACTGGTCCATTAAACAGAAGTAACAGATTTTTTCCATCAAACCATCAAACAAAAAGTAACAGATTTTCCCCTATAAATTAATATATCCATCTGTAATTAAATTTAGAGTCAAAGTATCTTTGGAGTATCTCTCTCACACACACACACAAAAATTCTTAAATTGGACAAAGAGCATATACATAATAACGCGTCAAAAGTACCGACAATTTGACGAAGTCAAATCTCCGTGCGCATGCGCGACTGCGTGTGAGTAGCAAGATTGTCTGGCAGACAGTCGCCCTCAGAAAATCAGTTTGTTCGGGTGGCATAATTCACAAGTGCACATCAGTTTGGCCACTGACGAAGGGGGTTTCAAAAATGGACCAATGAAGTCTTATTGCTCTTGTGATACTGAATCTTCGAAATTATACACATGAGCACATGTTATTGTTTACGTTTTATTTTGCATTTGTTTCGCAGTTCTAAATATATGACGTATAAATGCTGCTATCATCTTAATAGAAAATCTCGTAGTGCTTTCATTTTATAAGTTTATTTAATCGTCAACCTTTCACTTTCGCGAAACTTATCACGCACTGATAATCGGATTCATGTTCGGGGTATACACTGACTACCAATAAGTATTTGGACAACTGTGATAGAAAAGAAAAACTAACTTTATTCAAAATTAATAGTTGGTAGAGCCTCCACAAGAGGTAATTACAGCGTGGACCCTCCGAGGCATACTTTTCACAAGTCTTTGTATGACAGCTAGTGGCATTTTCTTCCACTCGGCTTGGAGAAGACATAGAAGTTCCTTCACCGATTTTGCACGGGTAGTGCACCCCTGAATTCGGCGATGCAACTCGTCTCAGAGGTTCTCGATAGGGTTCAGGTTGGACTCTGGGCAGGCCAGTCCATTCGATGAACTCCATTGGCACCATACCAAGCCTTGGTTAACGTCGAAATATGACAACTCGCATTGTCGTCCTGAAAGTAACAGGGGTTCAACCCGTAAAACTGCCACAACGTAGAAAGCACATTGTCATCCAAAATAGTGCAGTAGGCATCGGAGTTGAGCTTATGAATGGGGACCAAGGTTCTCCAGGTAGACGCCAGACCCAGACCCTGCCATCCGAACGGTAAAGGGTGAACCTTGATTCGTCACTCCAAAGAACTCGTTTCCACTGATCTACGGTCCAATTTGATATGCTTTGCACCACATTAACCGAGCAGTGCGGTTGGTCTTTGTGATCAAAGGCTTTATGGGCAGCAGCGCGACCATGAAAACCAAGCAGATGTGCTTCTGTACGGATGGTATTCATTGAAACAATACTCCCGGATGCCTGTTGAAACTCCTCGCGGATGAGGGCCATCGGTTGGGTGCGGTTCTTCCTAATTTCTCTGGACAGCACTCGTCGGTCTCTATCTCCCAGTTTCGTTAGTTTGCCGACTCGGGGAACATTCCGACAATAACCGCTCACCTTACACTTCTTCATCACATAGGCCACTGTCGATTTTGGGTACTTCAAATCGCTAGATATGTCCCTTAAGGATCGGCCAAATTTGTGATACCCGATAATTATACATTTCTCGAAATCAGAGAGCTCCGAACTGCGAGGCATATTGCATGCGACTAAAGCCGATGCAGTTTCCTACACGATATATACCGGCGGAGTCCGTGACGTACCTTAGGACCGCAGATATCGTCATTTGCATAGGTGTCCAAATACTTATTGGTAGTCAGTGTGTTATCGCTCTTTTTATCGAGAAAATGACTCAAGCTACAATGAACTGATTATACCTATTCTTCTTATTAAATGTTTTATATGAATAAATTAAATATATTCGTTGTGAATAAGATAAATTCATTCTGTTTGAAGAGTATATCTCATGCAGGCAATACATTTAAGAATGAACAGTTATTAATGTGAAATTAAACACACTAAATGTGTAGGAATGCAAATTAGAAAAATTCGCTTTAAATAAAACTGTGCATAAGTTATTATCACAGAGCATCTTTTTTATACAGACTGCAATAAAATGTATTAAGTCTTCTACTATTTACATATATAATTATGTTTACATTTGATCTAACTTCGCACCGAAAATTTTCACAAGCAATCCACGATGCTTTAATTATTTTGTACAGGAAATTTCGTGACAAAACATTTTCAACCGCCTTGCTTAACGCGCGGTAAAGGTCATGTGAAATGACAGAAATATTCCTGGAACCCCACTGGTGCATTCTAGAAGCCACTCTGTCAGTAGCGATACAGATGTGCACTTACGAAATATGCGTTCGGATGGTGTTTACTGGTCTTTATTTTATTTCGTTAAGGTCGTCCGGTCAAGAGTCTTGCGTAGATAGTCAATTTGTTCGGGTGGTTGTTGCTGTATTTTGTACGAAATGAAAAGGCATTTGATTTTATGAAACATCATTTTAATCTGAGTATGGTGCCAAGTTATTATCCAAATATACCTGACAATTCATTTATAGATTTAGCATTTACTAAGAATATAACTGCAGACATCTTAAATTACAAATCGTATTTCTCATACCATCGAGCAATTTTACATAGGGTCATTTTGAATGAATAAATGTAATAAATAAGAAATAAAATAAAATACAATATATGTGTGTGTAAAGTCTTTTGTTTGTTTTTATTGTTTTGAATGAATAAATGTAATAAATAAGAAATAAAATACAATATATGTGTGTGTGTAAAGTCTTTTGTTTGTTTTTATTGTTTTGAATGAATAAATGTAATAAATAAGAAATAAAATAAAATACAATATATGTGTTGTAAAGTATTTTGTTTTGTTTTTATTGTTTTGAATGAATAAAAGTTGTGTATTTGATGAATAAGCGAAATCGAAACTGAACAGCCAGAGCATTTCATAAGTGAAATAAATGCTTATTTTGCTCTTAAAAGAAACAGTATATTTATTTTTTACAAATTACAGTCTTGTTTGCAACATGTTACTTATTTTTTACATAAAAATAGAACAAACTTTTAAGAAATAAAGTTTACGCAACGCTTATCAAGGAACACTCCAAGTAACGACGTTTTTAGCTCGACTCGTTGTTGCCACACGGCGAATCTTAATAACTATTCAAAACATTACATCATGTTGCCACTTAGGAAATCTTAATAATTATATAGAAACATTAAATTATGTTCCACTACAATGTAATAAAAAAGAAATTAAATAAAATACAATATATGTGTATGTAAAGTCTTTTGTTTGTTTTTAATGAGTAAATGTAATAAATAAGAAATAAAATAAAATACAATACATGTGTGCGTAAAGTCTTTTATTTGTTTATTTGTTCCGCTGGTGTTTAATGCATAAGATTACTTCCGTTAGTAATCTTATGTATTAAACACCAGCGGCTCTTCAAATTAAAGAGAGAGCCTGCCATCAATTTATTTTTAAAATTTACCATCAATAGATTTCTGAATAGAGTTGATGAAATGGCATAGATAAAACAGGTATTTGAAATGATGAAATGAGCACAGATTACAAGTTTGGTGCACATTTCACTAATTCAGATGCCGAGAAAATCAGAAGGAGAAAAACAAGTCTAAAAATACTCACGTGGTACAATTGAAACATCCCTGTTCTTATCCCGATTTTCCGGTCTGTGTCCTCCAGCACAATCGCCGATGGATAGCTTAGACGAATTCTTACAGATTTTCTAAAAAGTAGCAAAATTGTCTAAGATAATTTCAATTCAAATTCTTTTAACATAAACTACCCAAGTTACTGAAATAAAAAGCAAACTAAAATGTAGTACATGTAATGTAATCCCGAGGTTCCGATCTCCATCTCTTTGTTTTCAATTTTTTTTTTTTAAAGTCAAGCAAATATAAGCTTGTTTTTAATTTATTTCTTCGTTGATTTAAATAATATAAAAAGATAATGCAATATATAAGCACTTTTAAGAAAATATTAAATTAATTTAAACCAAGATGCATGAAATTCAGACTGGTCTACAGTGTTCAATATGTAAGCATGAATGATGAAGCTTTTACCTGAGGTAAGTGTTTAATTCTAAAGCATACTTGAATGAAAATAAATTTCACTATTTTACTTTTGTTTCAATAGAAATAAGTTTGTGCTTATGCAAATAAAAAACAATTTGTTTTGTTTTATTTTATTGAAAACATTAATTTTAATAATTAATTTGCTTTAAGGAAATAAAGATATTTTTTTTAGTAATTATATAATTTTTACTGAAATTAAACCCGATAGATGAAAACGTAAACTTTCTTCAACTGTATTACAATAAACATGTATTTACCTTACAGGGAAAAAATGAAATTATTTCGTTATTTTAAGAATATGCAAATGTCGGTGTTGTCAGTTAATTCGAATATTTGGATACCTATTGTAATTAATTAAACTGTTTACCTATAAAAGATTTCCTGAATAACTTTAAAACAATTCTTTATCGCATAAATAAGTTTTAATTTAGTTTAGAATGTAATTTTTTTAATGATGAAAATTAGTTTAATTTACTAGAATTTGGAATATTACAGTGGCTCACGTTTGTTTTCGGACATTTATGTTTTTAAGATTTATTTGAAAATATCAATTACTAAATATTAGCAAAATCACTTTAATTATATATATATATGTATAGGTAATGAAGGCTATAAAAGACAATTAATAGTACATGCGGCTAAATATATATATATATTAACCCCATGTAAAATCGATCCTCTATTTTAAAACCTGCTTGTTTTCAAAACAGTTTTCAAAATTATTCAAAACGTTTTTGACAAAAAAATATTCAAAATGTTCTGGAAATGAACTCACATAAGTATTCGAAACTTCGAATAAACCGCATATATGTTATAAAAACACGAAAATAATGGGACATTCAATTTTTTGTTCCATATCCTTTAGCTAATATTACACTTTTCTTGCACTGGCATGGATCTAATTAATTTATTTGGTGTAAGAATATACTATTTTGTGTTATTCCTCCACAGGAATTACTATTAGTACAGCTTTCGAAGAAATGTGGTATTCCATATTCTTTCTCCAACTCACTTCATGTATGTTCCATAGGATTTAAGTCCGAAGAATATGGAGAAGTTTGATAACTTAAGGACAGTTGTACAATAACTACAAGCGAACATTTGGGACTGCATGATTAAGACTCCATTCCAAGTTTCTCGCAGATTCTTTCTGGTTTTCATTAAGAATATTTATATATGTAGTATACTAATCCACATCATTTACTATACACGCTATATTTCTTGTACCAAACACAGCGAAAGATTACCAAACCATTATATTTCAACCACGGTAACATTAGGAGACAGGCTTTCCAAATTCAATTGTTAATTCAAATTTTGCCACCTATTAATTTGTCTATGGGACACAAATATATTAAATTTGAATTTTTTGCAGACAAATATTGTTCCAATATGGCAGGAGTTCGCTTTTAAAAGATTTTCAGAGTGTCAGGCGTATTTGCCCTTCTTGTCTTGTTGGCGAACAATTTCCTTCTTGCTGATGACCCATTGTATCAATGTGTCTTAAATGACTGCTGAAAGTTTTACAGTACTAATTTGAAAGTGTTGTTTGATTTTTCGTTGAATAAATCTGCGATTGCTTGGTGTTAGCTTGAAATGTGTTACTGACTTCAGTGCATTTTCAACAGTTTCATGGAGTTTGCATCTCTTTATTACCTCACAGATAGTTAAATGCTTTAAGGGTTTTTTGGATATTTCTAATACTTTTGCCATCTTTAAGAAAGATGAATTATTAAATTTATCATAGAACCGGTCGTTAATTTGTAGCGTTTTGTCACACTCACTTCAGATATGAAACAACTCACATGTTTTGCTAAACAAATTGAAATTTCCAAATGCAGACGATAATTCTTGTAATGTATTTTTATTTAAAAAAAAAAAAAAATCTAACAAAAATATTGTCTACAAAAACATCTCAACAAAAATTTAGAGTGTCCGATTTATTATGTGAGTTACTGATTAACACGATCTGAGCAAATTATTTTATTACAAAGAATATTTTAACGATATTTACTTGACAACAAGCAAGCCTTAAAATAGAGAAAAAATAGTATATTAAAATAAAACTTAAAGCCTATGTTTCAACATTTAATACATTATCTATGCAAATATATACTTCAAAAATACAAGTGATCGAAAACAAATGTGAGCCGCTGCAAATTCATAATATTCAGAAAACATCGTCCAATTTCAAAATTTTGTAATATTAAAAATTAGTAACAGAGAATGATAAGTAACACATGAATGTAAAAGGAAAACGTTTAAATTTCGTTCATAAATGTTTGGTATGACTTTCTTTAGTCAAGGCTATAAAAATATTCTTGCAAAATACATTCCAGTGTTTCAGGTGTAACTGTTTCTAAAGCAGCAGTCGTTTTGGCTTTTAGGCTTAGGTGGTACAAATATTTGTTCTTTCATTTAACTCCAAAAGAAGCTGCAGGTTTAATTTCCAGAGATACTAAAAGACCAGCTGCTTAAACGAAGTCATCTGATCCATTGCGACCGTCTAACATCCTGCAAATGGCAAAATGCTTTGTGCTAATTTGGGCACAATTTTTACTTTTCTTCCATAAAGAACTTTGAACAACAAGTTAACGCCCTCTATTGTTTATATATTTACACATTTTCCCTTTGTATTATTCATATAACATTTATTATTCTGTTTTGTTAATTGTTAAACTAAAAAAATGTGAATTTAATGGTTCTATTTTAACTATCTCTGTACGACGTATGAAGAATATATGTACTGCGGTATTAAAAGAACGACACAACATTCAATTAACGGCGACTGCGATGTGCGCATGGACGGAGTGTTCATGACGTCATTTCTCATAGTTAAATGTCTAGTTTTTGTTACATAAGCCCTGAATATAAGCAGGGAAACGCTAAGTGACTAAGTTCGAGACTAAAATTCGGGGATATATTTTATACACAAAATAGTCTTTATAAATAAAATAAGGGTATGATGACGGAGAGGTTTCGAATAAACAGAGAATGAAGAACATTTATTCTGACAGCAGTTTTAATGATAAATATATATTCCAAACTATTTTGAACAATTTCAATATTTTATGTAATTATGAGTTATAAATTTTGTTATCTCGTTTAAAATCGCATCTGTTTCAATTCTAAGACTATATATCTAAGTTTATATTTCATAATTTCTTCATTACATTAGAATATTCTTTACATAATTCTTTTTTAAATCCTAAGAGAAAGATTATGCTCTATAAATATTTTTAAATGTGATCCCCCCCCAAAAAAAAAGTCGAGTGTCAGATAAAGGTTTAGCAGTTTTATTTTTTGTGCAAATGTTTTTCATTATGTGAAAAGAAAATGAGTTTTCCATTATGAGAACGAAGTTTTTCATTATGTGAAAAAATGCTTTTCATTATGTTTCATTATCATTTCATCATTATGAGAAAAAAAGTTTTCATTGTATGAAAAGAAATTAATTTAATACGCCAGTTGAAGTATTACATAATTCTGTCAGTCGCGATCGTTACTATTTTGCAAGCATTTAATTAATCAGGAAGCCTGCAATCACGTGAAATTAATCGTTAAGAGTTAAGAAATAAAACAGCGTAAATAGACGTTAAAAATTAGTTTAATCAGAAACCAGAACTACTTTGTTCTTCATTAGCTAATCAATGAAATAATGCCCATAACAAATGAATGAGACCAATGAAGTTTTCACACTTTTTGGTGGAAGGAAACAAAATACACAGAGACATCTATATGATGAAACCGGTTCCGATGAAAACAGAATTAAGAACCAAAATGAATCTTCAGACATTTTTAGCCCAATGGGGCGTTAGCCCAAAAGGGCTATTAGTCTCGAAACGGCATTTTGCGTCAAATCACTAAAAGCTTTGAATCATTTTTCAAACTGTTGTCACCAAATATTAAGTACTTTTAGCTCCAGCGCGCGAGATTGGCTATCGGAAACAAGGAGTTTAGAACATGGACCTTATAAGAAATAGACTAACCCAAATGGGTTTTCTCCCTCGTCTGAGGCGTTTTCGGCTGTCACCTTGATCACATCCGGAGGAGTAGGGACGACTTGCAGAAATTTAACAGTGGTTGCCTATTGCAGCGTGTATAATTGTCAAGAAAGAGCTGGTTGTAGCGCCTCATTTCACAAATTAGAATTTCTCCATATTTTTATTTTTCAAATTGAGATTCATTTTTAAAAATTTAGCATATATATCAAGTATAATTAACGTTCCAAATAATTATAAAGCTATTGCATGCTTTCAGGGCTGGATTATTTTTTTAGCTTTTCCTATGCTGTAAGGAAATTTGTAACTACTTCTTTTAGAAAATAATATTTTTAATCTGAACTAATAGAAAATTTCAAACAAGCAATTTTCTCTTGCAATTTTTATGCTTTTTATTGGTGTAAATAAGTAAAAAATACTAAATTATTTAAAAACGAATTTTTGAAAGTTTTGTTTAAAATTCTAAATTGTGCTGCTTTTTTAAAATTATAGATGAATATTATAACACAATTTCTATAAAGGAATTTTATTTCAATTATATTTCATAATACATCATAGTGATAAACATTTTGACTCCTTAATAATTCTTATACATTTAATTTTAACATTAAAATTGTATTTAACCGTAATAATTAATTTTGCTTGTATTTTATAGTGATTATTTTTTTAAAATTTATTTTTAGTTCTGCATAAGATTTTTTTTTATTTACTGTTAATTTAATTTATTAGCCCAAAGGGGCGGTAGCCTAGAAAGGCTGTTGGTTTCGAAGCGGCATTTTGCGCTGTTTTACTATAAATGTCCGTGTCTCCTTGCAAATTGTAGTTACCAAATATTATCGCCCACTATTATATTTAAAGAAATTAAATAATGAAGAATCTGCAGGAATACATGTATGTTTCTCGCACTGTTACAAAACGACAGTATCTAAAGCCATCAAATTTTGAATAATGTAATCCTCCACCCGAACATGGGCATCTGGAAGGCTGAATTTCGAATTTGTTTTAATCTATTTCATATTTTCTAAAACTTTAACGAATGTTTGATTAACAAACTCAACGAGTTCAGAGCGAGCACTGTACAGCAAGTAACAGTTTTATCTCCAGTGCGGAAATTCTAAAGATATGCTGTTTTCAAATGTATGTGGTTTACGGGCGAAGAACATGATATTCAATAAATATAGGTAATACACAAAACCTTAAAAAAAGATTCCTTTTGGGCATAATATAAAATCTGAGAGCTTCTATATTTTATTTTACCCTTTTTTCCCCCTTCGTAATGAAGGGAAACTCAGAAAATTTTATGCTCCGAATTTTATAAATTACTAAAATAAATATTCCACTTTAATGTTAATAAGTTAATGATGATATAATCAAATAAATGATTGTTTTGTAATGTTATTGTAGTTTTGAAAATCACTGCCTGAAAATAGTCATTAAATAAATAAATAAATAAATAAAAAATTATCAGATCTTGTTTAATTTTAGCTTATTTATTTCAAAGCATCACGTACTGTCATTGTTATGTTATTTAATTTTACGTTATTTGTACGCAAAATTAAGTCCACGAATTTTGTGCCTAGAGTTTTTACCGTTTTACTAAAGAAAAGATGTTTGTAAAAGAATTACGCGAAATTCAGTAAAAATGCGCGAAATGAAGTAAAAAGTGCTTTAATGAGATATATTAAATCTTATTTGAAAAAAACTCTGGCTTTCATAATCTCATCACTATACAACGTATCACATTTAATAATTAAAAACAGTAATGTGATACAAACGCCATAGGTTTCAGTGTTAAAGTAAACCAGATCGTCCCTACTCTTTTTTGCCGACATGTCGGTGACGCGCACTGGGTTAGTCTATATCTTATAAGGTCCATGGTTTAGCACACAGCCAACTCTATAATGGCCTTGAAGCGCAAAAGTCACGTGATCGAGATGGTCGATGTGTTTTTGTGGTTGTGAACTCGTGGTCGTAGATTTTTTGGATGTATATTTTGCTGTTAAGTGATTTTAAATCACTAACGCTAAGGTAAATAATATTTTTATCTATACTTCGTTTTATACTTTTTTAATTTTTAGATTTATTTAGGAAAATTTGTAGCTGTTCTCAATCCTATTCAAGTATTTCGTTTTAACATAACATCGAATACATTAGTTTGGACGTTTCGCATAGTGTTGTTTTGAATATTTGTTTGAAACAGTACATTAGGAATTCCTTATTTTGATTATTTCTTTCTAATAGCATATTTGACATTCTGTCCCAATAAAAGAAACTTTATCACCACAAACATTTCAGGCATTAATAACAACTACAGATGCATTCATTCAATTGATTCCATGTTTGTTTCAAAAGTATGAAGCTGAATACATATTGTTAGGAAAATTTCAAACTGATGCTCCTGAATCACGTTTTGAAATGTATCGGCAAATGTCAGGTTCAGATTATTAAATAAATGACCTACAATTATTAGAAAATGAGAAGAAGCTTCGTTTTAAAAACAATATTATAATTTCATCATCAAATAGGAATGGTTCTTTTAACGGCCCTTTTACCAGATTATGATAAGGATTTTCTACCTTTATTTATGATAAGGATTCTATCTTTACTTTTGCGAATATTAATTGATTCATTCAAATTTACTAATTAATGATTTTTTTATAGAAAATGTTTCTTCTGATATTTTAGCAGTGCTAGTTTATGTTTCAGGTTATGATGCCATGAAAAAATTAAGGGTGATAAAATGCAATGTTTGCCAGGACTTGTTGCAAAGTATTCATTCAGTAGATACAGCAGATGATATTTTTGGTTTTCTTAACGAATTAGATAAGGGGGAAATTAAAAATTTTCCATCTGAAGTTACTCTATTAAAATCTTCAATTGTCTATTTCTTATTTGGTGAAATTCTTAAAAACATGGAAAATGCATTTCTTATGCCAGGAAAGCAAACGGATATTTTATATAAGTTATCTTGCATACAGTTATTACACTATACAGTTACTTTAATTTAACAGATTCTTGCACTTGTGGAATGAATTTACAAACTCGGTTAGAAAATATGTTTGATAATTTGCAAAATAATGTTAAATAATTGTACAAAATATAAAAATGACAAAATTAATATAAAATGTTCATATAAAAATGTTAAAAAAATTAATTAATTTCAGTTAATAACTCAATTGTTTATTTTGATTTATGCTTTGTTTCTGCATAGATTATGTATAATAATATGTAGCATGTATGTATATGGTACAGCTCCAAATTTTATGAATTTATTTTTAATAGTGGAATAGGCCTGTAATTTGGGAAAATACTTAAATTCGCATAAAATATCACTTATCTCTTGGATAATCACTTATCTCTTGGATAGTTTGGAAAAAGTGATTCAACATAAAATTGGAACTGGTACAAATAGATGATGGCTGTCCTTTTTTATGAATGCAATTAGCATTTAGCTCTTTGAAATTATCTTGAAAGATTCTATTTATAGTATAACGTGCATGTAATTTCATCTTTATATTCAAATTTTCTAGCATTTAAGGAATTTTAATTCATTTCCCTGTTTCGATAAAATTGAGATATGCAGATTTTATTAGTGAATGGAGTGAAGAGAGATGACTATGGGTATTTGACTTCTAAAAATTTATATAGCTGATGCGATGGTAGCGGCATGGAGTTTTGCAAAATAATTTTTCCCTTAATATTTATTTTACTAGTATGAAAATCTAAAATTTGCATCCATAAATCTATTGAATTCCCCCCCCCTTATGTGGATTTTATATTATTTTGGCAATAAATTTGATTCAAATTACATAAATGAATTTCATTTTTATCAAAATTACATAAATAAAGTTCGCATGTGGTGATTCTCAATGATATTTTTAGTTACATAAACGAAGTACAAATTGTTTAAAAAATTATTGAAGATATACATTTTTACCGCCTGTAAAAATATTGCACTGTGAAAAATTTAATGTAAACCATACGACCTACTCACGTTTATTAATTTTACTTATATTTATTTTAAGACAAACTACTATTTTCGGTAAAGTTTAACTCTGGGATTATGGTAAAGAGAAAGAGATCGACTATTTTGATCACGTGACCTTCCGAAACAGATTTTGCTTCAAGGCCATGATGCAGTCGGCTGTGGGTTTAGCATAGATGAGGTAAGCATGACGTCACAAAAGTGAAACCAAGAAATGTCAACAAGGTGGCAGGACGTCTCATCATGGCTGCCATACAACGTACGGATAAGATTTCAAAAGAGATTGTTAAATAAAATTACATTGACCTTTGAGAGAAGTGTCTTTAGGCATAATTTGCATAAAATGTCATTGAAACTTTCACTGGTTTACAGGGTTTTACGATGCATACATTTGTCTTGTAGTTACCATTAACACATTTTCATCAACATAGATTTTATTAATTTTGAAGCAGTTGTTTGCAATCCTTGCGATTTTCTATAGATTTATTTCTTCCAAGTAGAAAATCAGTTATGGATAATATTAAAATTAGAACGGGAGACCTATAAGCATTCAATGATGTGCAGCTAACATACAGACAATGTCAATTAAGATGCAAACAAAACCAATCAGAAATTCGCCTATGGCAGCGGTCATGATAAGTCGTGACATCATACCGTTACGTATGATGGATTCATTTTCATTCCACGGGACATACGGAGAAGGCTTACTCCATTTATTCTAACCTCCTTAATTGAAAATTATAAAGATATACTTTTGTTAAATATTTTTAGCCCACAAGGACGTTAGCCCAAATGCTCTTGAAACGGTTCTCGAAGCGTGAATTTGAGGAGCAGAATATGAATCAGATATTTAACCATCTGTGATAAAAAATGGAATAATGTCTGATCCATTATATGAATGAATGTTCGAAATGTGAAAAGTTTCGAATAGGACCAGTTTACCAATTGAAGAAGTTTGCTGGATGATTCGCCGAAACAAAGTGGAACATTAAGATTCCCAGTAATGCTATGCAACAGATAATTTTCTTGTTTCCTTTTCCCGAATATAGGCACCCAAATATTTATGTTGTTTTATTTCTTAATATCTTCTGATTTTATTTGACACAGCTTTCTTAACCATTTCAAATGTTTATAATTTTAATAAATATTTGAATATTATTTGTGAATCTATGTTTATTCAGATTTCGATGATAATAAAAATCCGTATTAAGAGAAAATGAACCCAAAATATTTTTGTAGATCTTAACAATAATTCAAGCGTTTGTTATCAAACTACGCTAAAATAGTCTACTTTCACTACGTTTATATACACCCATAACGTACATACATACTCTTCGTACTTACCAAACACTGCATGTTTGGTTGCATGAAAAAGAAACAAATCAGTAAATAACGCATTTTATAATGTGACATACTAAAATATAATTTACTTCATACACTACAATATTTTGTCAGATAAAAATATTATTAATGTTGACTTATTTTTTTTTATAAATTTGCGAATATTTTGAATTTTATAGTTTTTTTAATATAAGTAACTAAATACAAATTTGCAATCTTGAATTTAAAAACGTGGAAATCAGTAAAGAAAAACAAATTATTATTTTTTAGAACTCAAAAAATAATGTATTAGTCATTTATTAATGCATCTAATATTGCTATCTGACGAACTAAGTTATTACACTTTAAATCAATTTGTAAAAGAAAGAACTACGTTTATGATTGCAATCTAAAGGTTGCGAAAGACTTTAATTTTTCTGATTAAGATTTTTTTTGTTGACGATAAACACATAAGTAAAAGTGCTAGAAAGAAAGGTACTATAACTAAAATATGTAATATATGTTATCAGTATCTTTCAGGATTTAAGCGAATGGTATAAATTTAAATAAAGTGTTTTGCCATCGAAAACTATCGAAACAGACGGCATGATTTTGAACTCTCTTTTTTATTAAACTTACTGGATTCCTTGTTTCCCAATTCCAAATTTAGGTTCAATCCAAATAAAATTCCTAGCTATATGTAAAATTGTATTTTTTAGTAATTTTTTATAAAATTTTCGAAATTTTTTTTAAATATAACCTATAAAAGTTTTGCTATCTTCGTAAAATATATACATTTCCAGGCATATCTGCGAAAATTTAGAATTTTTTATTCAAAATTTCCGAAAATATGTCTGAAATTATATATTGGCACATTCTGAAATTTGGCATATTTGTTATAATAACGCCAAATATAGTTGACAAGCTTTGTTAAAATTATATGAAAGAATGAACGAGGAATGAACGAGCAAACTAAAAAAAAGATAAATTACAAAATTTTTAGCGAAAAGATTCTTATCAAAATTTACAAAGTTTAATATTTCGGTATAATTTGAAGCGTAGAATTGAAATATGGGGAAAAAATGGGTATGTCGTTTCAGAAAGTGTCCAATTTTGTGTCCAAATACCTATGTTAGGATAATGCTAAATATATATCTAATATATATCCCAAATCGCGCTCTTAAGATATATAATACACCAGGTAAATTTCGTCAACCAGCTCTGTAGAACGGGAGACATAAAACATTGTGCAAAGTGTAGAATATAAATTATTAAAACATTTTTCTATATAAATGCAAAATATAAAAAAATTATACAAATATATACATATTTAATATAAGATTTTTACGAATACTGATTTGCTGTACGTTGCAATAATTTTTGCGTTATTCTCTTAAAAATATTTTTCACAAACAACTCTTTTTTCAAAATAATATAATGTCAAAAGAATTAATTAATTAATGCTGATTTATCATGACTTTATCTCCCAGGGACAAATTGTCAATGTAGTCAATTTAAGCATTTTGGGACAATTTTGTAAGAGGATTCTCCAAGATCGATTCTGATATTCAGCAGTAGGCAGCTTGTGTCTCTTTTACGGTGATGCATTGGTTCATTGAGCAATAATAGTTCAGAAGGTTTTTGCCAAAAACTAATGTGTATACTAAATAATCTTACCGACTCTCCAGATTTATGTCTTTAGAAACTATGTTTTGTCCTTAAATTGAAATTACCATTTAAAGGATAATTTTGACTTCATGTATATCTCACTAAAAGCTATAACATCGTGTCTGTATCATTTGCACAGGCCGTTCAAGACTTTACAGGCTGTTGATATAGAAAAAGGATATATTATAAGTAAAAGAGAAATATTTTTTTTTCTATAAATGTAGTCTCATTATTTAATCGTACAATTGTATGTATGTTTTAATTACTGTTTTCAATTGATGACTCATAGCTTCATTCTCGCACCAGTATTCCGGCTTTGTAGTCTAGGTGGCGTTGGTACAGCCCCAATTATGGCAGACAAAGTTATTTTGGAGTTTGTTCAAAGCTAAAAAGATATCATTGATGCAGATTCTGATGCCAAAAATAAAATGAGTGCAGTTCCTGTTCCCACGTCATCCGAAATGAGGAATATCATAAAAAGCATGGACAGTTATTTAGATGCACGTTCCAATGGTGAAGTGAATAGCAAAATGTTTGACATTGAACAATTTGATGCTAAAAAAAATGCAAAGAAAAATATCAGATTATTTACCCAAAACTCAATAAATGTTTTGTTTTTCAAAAACTTGAAAATTTTGTATTTGTCCTTGTGGATGTTTTTGTTTCATTAGTTTTTATTAAATACATGCATCTATCTGCCGGCTTTGTATTTCAATTGTATGTGCTGCCAAAATGAATGCGTTTAAAAAACATTGTTCTTACAGAAAGCAAGAAAATAAATGATAAATGTTTTTAAGCAAATAACATAAAAATATGGCAACATAAAAATTTCTAATTATTGTTACTAATTTTTTTTTTGCTGCATTTTATGTCATAATTTTACTGCGTATTTTTGTTTAATCGAATTTGTGGCTAATTGTTATGTCTGTAAATAGACATTTAATGTTGTGCATTACTCTGAATAGTAACTCTGAATAGTAACTCTGAATCTGAATACTGAATATATCAACGCTTGAAGTTTAAGATAGCTCAACTAGAAGTTGACATGTGGGCAACTTCTAATTGGCAGAAACTCTTCTCAAGTAATCATCATCTCAAGTTCTCAAGTTCATCTCAATTCTCATAATCACGTCCCATGGGACGTGATTATGATGTTGTAATGATGCTACATAGAAATGGTTCAGTTCCTTCATATTCACAATCGTTCTCGTTTGCGCCTTAGCAAGGACTCTGAAAAGGCTGAAATGGAAATCTGTGTTACCTGTCCTATAATAATAATAGGATGAAATAGAATGTTTTCCAGAAGAAAACCTCAAAAGGGAAACATGATGTAGGACATAATTCGATATTCGCGTCTAAAGCGTTGTGTGTTGCCAACAAGAATACCTGAGCATGCAGCAAATGCAAGGGTAAACATAATGCCCTGAGCGGCAAGATTTCCATATGTTGTTGAAGGGCAGTATTTAAACAGATTTTATTAGTTAGATCTTTGTTGTTAATTTAAATTAGTTTTAATTTTCATTTTATTAATTTTACTTTTTGTTTCCATACGGTTTCCTTCATTATGATGATATTTAGAATATTAAATTACATAAAAGCATAATATATTAATTAAAGAATTAATATATGTGAAGTGATAACAAATCTCCTATTCGGATAAAATTTATCAGTGACTTAAATAATATAAATGATATTAAAAAAATCTCATGTGGACATCACATGGCATCTTTGTACACTTGTTAAATTACATACATTATTTTCCTGCACTTCATTTAAACTTATTCCCTCGAATAATTCTAACTTGATTAATTTTGTCAAAGCAAGTTGAAAATGACATCAAATATTACAAATTTTGAAATTAAGTATCTCGGCCAATTGTTTTCGTACAGGAGTCAAATTTCTTGTATTTTTATTTTATCGTAACGAATATAAAACTTTCCTAAATGTAAGTACAGAAACCAGAAGACCAAAAGTATATATATATATATATTTGATACTGCCGACTGAAATAAAAAAAGGGAGGTGCACAACTAGATGCTACAGCAGTTCCATAAACAAAATTTCAACATGGGACGTCTAAGCTTTGAGTTATGTGAGACGCATACGTCCATACGTGCGTACAGACGTCACAAAAAATTTTGAATTCATTTTACAATTAGTTTTAGAAGGGTCGTTTATTCTCTCCGCATATAAAGACGTCACTCCAAAAAATAACTAATATGGATTCCGGAACTGTCAAAATAGATATTTATGTTTAAATTTAAAACCACAAATTTTTCACCATTAATACTCCTTTTACTTTATACATTGAAGTAAGAAATTAGACTCGATTTTCTCTCTTATTTCTGAACAGTCCGCTCTACTGTGTCAGGCCCGTTTTAGCTCTAAGCTTGAAAAAACATTTATTTTGAGGTCTTTTGTAATTATACAGAATTTGAGAGAATTAGTAAATCCGAGATCGTTGCTTCCCTCGTATGATGTGTACTTTTATCTTTTTAATGGCTCTGCTACTCTGGTGAAAAAATCTACTTAACAAACACTAGAAGATTTTATTCTAAATAAATTGGCATCAACTTCCTATTTCTGATCGCACATTATGTTCTTCGCAAAACTAAAGCATCAAAAACACTTTCACACGTGTTAAGCTAGAATATTTCCAATACTTCTACTCTTTTCCAGAGCTTCAGGAATGAAACCTTCTTGTTTGAACAGTAAGGACAAAAATTTAAAATTCCATTAAAAAACGAATCAATCTATAGAACTTTTATCTCGTCTCTTTACACAGTTCGATGAATCTTTTATCGATCTATCTCATGATGGAACTCTCGGAGACCGTTCCTTTCGTTCAATTTTTAAAATTAGCTCACAAATTCATCGCAGAAAAGAAACACAGATTGTTTTTCAAATATTTATTCTTTAAGAATGTTTAGTTATTTGCATGGGCTGATTTAGCAAAATGTAAGTTTCATCGAGGCGAACTTTGCATGTTAACAAATTTTAATAAAAAAAGTATAAAGTGTTTCGTGGTTCTTATAAATTTATCTGCGATTAGATCATCGTAGAAAAAATGAAACGGGTACTAGAACAGTTTTGTTTTATTTCAAAAATTTATTTTCATATAAACTCCCAAGTAAACGCTCATCGCTTCGTTTATATAAAGAGGTATCTGTTGGAACGAAGGTATTAAAGAGGTATTAAATATTAAAGAACTTTGGAATAGTTATTACACATCGAAGTATGACATTTTTCTTTTTTTTTTAATTCCTTTAAATCCGCAGGGAAAAAATTGCAACGTATATTTGTCAGAAACATAATAAAAAATAAGTCGGGAGATCAACAATTGACGTTTCATATATAAGATT